GGACATTTTTAACACAGTTGCTACATTGAAGTAAAATACATTGCAGTTAAGTAAATATCTATCATTGAGATCTATCGTTGAGAGACGTACTTCTTGAGGAAAATTATTTTGTTTAAAACAACACTAATTAAAGGATTACCCTCTTCTCATTTTCGCTGGATAAATAAAATTAAATAGGTTGCGAATCCAATAAAAATAATAATGATAAAATGATCCAGGAGATACATTACACCGAAAAATCTCGCACAGTCTAGGACAATTGAATTAAATATTAAGTGAGAAATACTCCAAAAATCACGAGCATGTGTTGAAGACCGGTGGCGAATATTTGCAGTTTATCTGTTTCTCAGTGTAAAAAGAAAAAATCGACGAAGTTGATTAGTAATGCAGTCAACTTTGCATTTATGTATATATTTACACGACAAAAAATAGTCGTCTCCAATAAGAGCAATCGACGTTATCAGTCATATTGCAAATTATGTCATTCTATCATGTGGATTAATGGGTTAAACGCCAGCAGCAACGGGCACACGCTCACCTAACTACATCACTACTCTTTTCAGCATGCACACACACACATATGCATATATCGCGTATATATGAGGAGACACATTTCCGATTAATAACTCCGCGCGGGCAACATGGTTCGCGCCGAGCAAAAACCGAAAGAAGACTGCCTTGAATTAATAAATAATTATTTGTGCGTTTTCTCGGATCGTATTGTAGGACTTGGTAGGTCGGCGCGCGCTCCGCGCTCCACGGATTTGCTTACGTCATCTCTTATTATGTATGCGTCGTCGGTGATTATGATCGCCGCAAGGATTTCGCGATCGAACACGCATACGTCGTCTCGCAGAAGTAGTTCGGGATCTTTACGTAATTTTATTCCGTATTAAAAGTAATCGAGCGCGGCGCGACGCGGTGCGACTCGCCGAAAGGAAGTTGCGACATTCATGAACCGACGCAACGACCATATTTTCCGCGCGAGATGCGCTGACAGACCGTCAGTCTCGACTAATTATATTTGGAAAAATATTCTAAGAAATGATAAACAAAATATTGAAACAATATAACTGTTTGCACTTCGTTTGAATTACCTTGAAATCTCCATCTTAGAAGACTTTTTCTTTCCTACTAGGATAATTTAACATCACGTCGAATTCTGTTCTTCATCTATTTAATCTTCTAGTTTTATACTTAGTAGAAAACTTCTGTCTGAACTTCGGAAGTATATTCTGAAAATAAAACATATTCTAAAAAATATACTGATTAAAAATTCATTCTTTTAGTTTAGTAAATTACGGTAATTATAATTATGGTAAGATAAATAAAATTTAATGGTATATAACTTTTACAAAAACTATATAAGAGATGATGATAAGATAGTTCAAGAAATATTTTTTTAATATAAAGTTTTTAATTTTTACCTTCTATTTTCCTATATGTGAAAAATAATATGTGAAAATGTGAAAAATAATAAACTGAGAAATAAGATTAAAAACTGTATAATTGTTAGTTTTTACTTAATTTGATATTGTATATTTTGGTAAAAGACATTTTTTGGGCTTATGATCGTCATACACCTGAAAAACAAAGACTAAACTGTAAAATGTTTTTGAACTATCTCATTCTTCTTACCTCTGCCCAAATTATAGTTCATTGAATTATGTGTATTTTTCATGATAAAATAAATTGCATCTGACTTGTCATTATTAAAGCCACATTAGTTGAAAGTATAAATATAAATATAAATCAATTACATTTGTTTTGGACACTTCTGGTGGAGGAAAATTTGAAGGTGGCTCCATCTTACGTAACTTGATGAGTACAATCAAATGCAACATTAAAAATTCATAAAAAATGTCTAGTTTCCGAATTACCGCTGAAAAATTAAAAAGCAATTATTTTCAAGCTCTTTCGGAGAAAAAATTCGAGGATAATGCCATTTTATATAATTTAATAACTACTATCGAATGCAATTTTAAAAGTTCATACTGTTCAAAACTGTTGATTTAATCTTAGCTTAATTTTGTACAGGTCGATAAGTTGGGATTTGAGTTTCGGCCAAAAAATGAGTTTTGAGTCAAAATCCTAACCGTAATAATTTACTGGTCTTCAGAAAATTTAGTTGAGACTCAAATACGGACTCATTACGGAGACTCATTGCGAACAAATAAGGAGTCTAAGATATTAATAGACCCATTATTTTCGCAAGTACGTTGGAATGAATTCCAAAGTCTCCGTTAGAAGTCTCCACTTTCCACAACGAGGAATTGAGCTTGTGATACTACTCATGCGACTCCTAGTGTAAGGCCCCTTGCACAATGCCAGGCAACAAGCAATAAGAATAAAAATAGACCAATCACAATCGACTATTACAAGAATAATCTATTGTGATTGGTCTATTTTTATTCTTATTGCCTGTTGCCTGGCATTGCGCAAAGGGCTTAAAACTTACAACATGTATTGTAGACCAGGATTAACTTCGATAAAAATTACCTTCCTTCAATAGATGGTTCTGGGCCTGTGGGGATAAAAATTACAATTCAATTCAATAGATGGTTCTGGGCGTGTGGGTTGCCGCTCCAACGCCACTCTCTGGGATAAAAATTACATTACCAGAGAGATATCTGAAAGCGGCCAACACGACATTTTCTGCGGCACCATTTTCCGCACTGGGAAAGGACGCCATCTACATCCATTTTGAGAGGGAAACTACGTTGCTACATTCACTTTCAGATCTCAGTGGTAAAATTTGCATGTGGTGGAAGTCCATGCTACATCCACTTTCAGAAGGTTTATGTCTGTGCTGTAACCACAGTTGCCATCTCTATGCCAAAGTAATTATATATAATTAAGGGTCTACAGAAGCTAGAGACAAATCCAGCGTTGACTTTGGAGGCCTTGTGCGGCGAGATCGCGAACCAACACCGTGCGCGCGAGCGTAAGAGCAGGAAGGTTGGGTCAAGTTAGTTTGACAAGGACGAACAATCGATCGCACCGTCCTTGTCTTACTCACTCAGGCATTTCGCCGGCCGATACACGGCGAGAAAATGCTTTTCAGGTTTTTGGGTGAGTGAGCTAAGTGTCGCAGCGACTCACGTGCAATACCATTTTACAAATTGACGTATTTTGTCTAGCTGACGTTATATATCACCGCCAAATTATTATAGCATGTTCCTTATATTATTCCCGAGATCCCCACAAAGCCAGATTTTGCAATCCGGCCGTCTAAAATTTATGAAAAATAAATGAAGCGTCCGCCGTACCAAGCATCGCAGCGAATCACTCCAAAAATTATTTTACAAGATGCAAAATTTCGCCTCGTTGACGATACGTATAATTGCTAAACTGTTACAGCATCTTCCTTGAACTATCCCTGAGGACCTTACACAGCCAGATTTTACAATCCGGCCGTCCAAAATTTATAATATATAAAAAAATATCAGCCGTACCAGGAGTTGCAGCGAGTCAGGTGGAATACCATTTTACAAGAAACAATATTTTGCCTTATTGACGTAATATATGACCATGAACTTGTTATAGCATCTTCCTACAACTATTTCCGAGATCTCTACAGAGTTAGATTTTACAAATAGGCTATCAACAATTTATTATACATAAATAAAACGTCAGCTGTACCAAATCGCAGCGAGTCAGACGGAATACAATTGTACAAGAACAGATATATTGCCTCGTTGACAATATATATAATCGCCAAATTATTATGGTATTTTCCTTGAACTATCCCCGAGAACCCTACAAAGCCAGATTTTGCAATCCGGCCGTCAAAAATTTATCATACATTAGTAAAGCGTTCGCTGTACCAAGCGTCGCTGCGAGTCACTCGAAATATCATTTTACGAGATGCAATATTTCGTCTTTTTGACGATATGTATTATTACCAAATTGTTACAGCATCTTCTTCATACTATACCCGAGATCGGTACAAAACCGGATTTTGCAATCCGGTCATCAAAAATTTATAATATATAAATAAAGCGCCCGTCGTACCAGGCGTTAGAGCAAATCAGTTGAAAAATCATTATAGAAGATGCAAAATTTCATCTCCTTGACGATATGTTTCACCGCCAAATTGTTATAGCATCTTCTTTCCCCGAACTATCCCCGAGAAACCTACAGAACCAGATTTTGCAGTCAGGCCATGAAAAATGTATCATAAATAAATAAAGATGTATGAAGCGTCGGAACGGATCACGTATAATAGCATTGTACAAAATGAGATATATTCCTTCACTGATGTAATATATCATCATCATATTGTTATAGCATATATCTAAAACTATTCGCAAGATCCTCACAAAGCCAGATTTTGCAATCGGACTGTCTAACTTTTGTTATAAATAAATAGAAATGCATCAAGCGTCAAAGTGGATCATGCGAATACAATTTCACAAGAAGAAATATTCCGCCTTGTTGGCGTAATATATATGTAACCGTCGAATTGATATGGAATATTCCTTGAACTATTATCGAGGTCCCTACAGAGCCAGATTTTCATTCCGACCGTCAAAAATTTATCATATATTAATAAAGCGTGTGTCGTACGAAACATCGCAGCGAGTCCTGCGAAATACCATGTTACAAGAAAAAATATTTTACCTCTTTGCTGTCATATAACAGCACTAAATTGTTATAACATATTCCTCGATCTATCCCCCCGGTCTGCCGGTAATTAACATTAAAGAAATTATGGCTTATAACTTTTTTAACTTACACTCAAATTTAAAAATATTTTTCACTTAAAATATTATTAGACAATTAATACTCTCCTTTAATATACTGTTTTACAAATTTTTTGAAGCCTTTTGTCACTTTTCTTCACAATCACTATTTGTTTTCTTCATTTCTTTAATTATAACTCAAAGTCTCCAAGACATTTGTGTCTACGCCACAATCACTACTTATTTGACACTCGTATATGCCATCCTTCTGCTCTCGTAATAAGTGACAGCGCTGACGTATGAAGCAGTGGTTGTCTTTCTCCTCAAGTTGGAGCGCGTTCCGAAGTCAACAAAAAATCGGTGCCATACCTTTTAGTTCACGAGTGTACATAAATGTATATTGTTAACTATGTTCGGTTTTTACAGAATGTAATTGCGCACTGTACACAGATGCCATTTATTTATATATTCTTTCTTTTATTAACTTCAGTAATTTTTCTTCTAACTTATTTTTACCTTTATACTGTTACTCACATGACATGGCTATTAGGCAGTCCGTAATTGCATTAAAATTAATGTTCTTTGGCTTTGGGACAGTCCTTCATATTGATTAATAAATTTTATATTCTGAACACATTGACCTGCTCTCAATTTCTTCCTCAATCAACATTTTGTGCATTTGTATATTTTTACTTTTTTACAATGTTTGTTGCTATTTTGTACAATCTGGCTGCTTTTGATGTTAGATCCGCTTGTCTTCGACAATCTTGTAGCAACGTCTTTCATTTAAATGTACGTACATTACCGTCTTGTTCTTCACTTGTACTTACTGTGATAAACATTTCACTTTTCACTCAATATTTTACGTATTACATATTGGTATGAAATAGTACATACACATTGACCTCTTGACTATGGAGGCAGAAATGTACTAGTCGTGCCATTTTTGTGTTGGAAAAAATGTCGAATTTTCTTTATGATATTTTTATAATAAGGGTTTCTGGGGTCGCTGAATCCAAATTTGATATTAAAATTCCGAAATTCAAAATGGCGGATCCAATATGGTGGGTCAAAATTATGAAAATAATCGGATATTTATGAAAGTGGGTATCTATATGTTTTTGGGGTCGCTGAATCCGAATCTGATATCAAAATTTCAAAATCCAAAATGGCGGATCGACCATGGTGTGTCAAAATTATGAAAATAATCAGATTTTAATGAAAGCGGCATTTATATGTTTTTGGGATCGCTGAATCCAAATTTGATATCAAAATTTTAAAATTAAAAATGGCGGATCTAAATTTTGAAAATCAGATTTTCATCATTTTTATAATTTTACTGTTGAATCCGCCATTTTGAATTTCGAAATTTTGATATCAAATTCGGATTCAGCGACTCCAAAAACGTATAGATACCCACCCGTATGCAAAAAACAATAATTTTACTATTTTTTTTCTTCGATGCGTGTATATACGTCATCCACACTGGCGGCACGACTTTTTCATGCGACTATACAAGTCATCCACAGTCAAAGGGTTAATGTAAAATCAATATCCTTTTGTTTCATACCAGTGTTTCAGATACAAAATTTGTAACATGTTCATTTGTAACATGTTGCATCACTTTAGATGATATGTTACTGTTCATGTCATGCTAAAATAACGTTATGTAATAATTATAATAACCACATATTTATATACATATGCTCACAGTATTCAACAAAGCAGTAACATTGTTATGTATCAGTAAGAACGTTAATGATAAAGTATCAGGTCAAACATGTGGTTTGTTATATAATAATATGTTATATAAATGTTACATAACATTTTACCATCGATGTTACTTTATTGATATATAACAATAATACTGGTTTACTAGGTAATATAAATTTATTCTAAATGTGGACGATATTACAATTAAGAATATGCAACTATAGTATAAATATAATGAGAAAGATGAATTATATATTTTTTATATTTACCTCTTCTATATAAGATATATGTCTGATATCGTTCAAATCCTAGCTGCAGTGGTTCCAATGTAACACTGTCTGGACAAAATTCTACATTACATGCAGATATTTCCATGTCTTCAGAATCAATATTAGAATTTGCTGCTATACATTTGATTCTACTGGGTATATTTATGCAAGGTGTAGCATCATCTTTTAATTTGCGTCTAGTGAGTGAATAAATATAATCTTCTTCATGAAAATGTTTGTAGCAAACACATACTTGATGTCTTAAATTGCTAATGACGTGTTCTATATCTTTAATTTTAATACTTTCGAGCCATGACAAACGTTCACCAGGATCTTTTGGAAACTTATGTATAGGTGTTTTTGCACTTAAAGTACAACCTGGTACAATGCAAGCTTTCCTCATGGCAACTGAAGTAATAAAATATGTAGATTTATTATTTACAGAACAACATAAATTATTGACAATAAATTATTGACAATAGCTACGTATTTATTACAAATATTATGTTTGACAAAAATAGCATTAAGATAGAACAATTATAAGAAAACTAGTTAAGTCTACTAATACAATTTTATAAACATTAATCTGCTTTGTATAAATGTTTAAATTATAAATATCTATAATACGAGATCTCTTATAGACACACATACACATTTGACTTATAAATATTTTGCTTGTTTTATACGAATGCTTTCGGATGCTTCTAAGAAGAATTGTAACAATTTTTGCTGACCATGAGATATATGATTTCAGATTATAATACTTATTTGGTGACGAAGTACTGCACACAAAACTTAGAATCACTTAGAATTTATATTAAATATACTAAAGCTAAAAATATATGTTAAATATTATTTAACGCTTTTATATTATATACACAGTTTTCCTGATTTTCTCTTGGACTTTTAGTGTTTAATACACGCGGCACTCTTGGTTAGTGAATGTGATGACTTCAGGCGCTCACTATGAAACTCCTTTCATTGTGTTCGTGTTTACGGTAGCACCATCTGGCCTATATAACATTGAGTGAAACTATTCTGCAGTCCAAGATCACACATATAAGGCCCCTTATACAATGCCAGGCAACAAGCAATAAGAATAAAAATAGACCAATCACAATCAACTATTACTAGAATAATCTATTGTGATTGGTCTATTTTTATTCTTATTGCCTGTTGCCTGGCATTGTGCGAGGGGCTTAAGTGTCCATCCCCTGACTGCCATCATATGCAGGTTTTACCGCCGAAACCTGAAAGTGAATGTAGCATCGTAGTTCCCCTCCCAAAATGGATGCAAATGGCGCCCTTTTCCAGTGCGGAAAATCGGTGTCGTGGAAAACGCTGTGTTGGCAGCTCTCACGTTCCTCTCTGGTTCAAGTTTAAAGTAAAAGTCTAGACAAAAAAAGTCAAAGAGAACATTATAGCTTTTTTTACATAAATGCTATTAAATTCTGTTTATATCGTCTAGTAGTACAGAAGTTTCAATAATAGTATAATAGTATAGTAATATAATAATAGTATAATAGTAGATATATAATAATAGATAGTATAATAATAGAATATTTTTTAATAGTAGATTTGATGATATTTTGAGCATAAATATGGCACATATAAAACGAAAGAATAATAAATTAAGGTAGAATGTCGATATTTTTTTAATTATAAAATTTTCAATAATTTTGTTACAAGTAATTTTATCTTTCTCTTTTATCATTATACGTTCCTATAACCGCAACCGTGGAGTGCTAAATATGTATACTATATTTCTTATTATCTTTTACAACGTCATCCTGCAACTCACTTATGAAAGATACATGGATATATAAACGTTTGTAGCGGTAGGCATTGGCAGTTGCATATAAACTTCCAGACTCACTGAATTGCAAATACGTGAAGCAAGCTCCGTCGATCCTTCGTTCACTCTCGAATCGGCTCTGCCAAAGTTCTCAAACAACATTCGCCATGGAATATTGGACGATACTACTATCCATTGTGGTACTATTCATAGGTATTCTCAGTTTGCATTACTTTTACAAAAAGTTCAATTACTTCAAGAGACACGGTGTTCTCCATGTTCCATCCATGCCGATATTTGGCAGTAATATGTTGTTTATGCTGCACCGTATATCATTCGCGGATTTTCTTCAAAAGCTGTATTACTTCAATCCGGATGCCAAGTATTGCGGATTTTATATTACGACGCGACCTATGATTTTGTTGCGAGATCCCGAGGTCATCAGAGACGTCTGCATCAAGAGCTTCGATGTGTTTCCTAATCGGCTTGGTTTTATCGATTTCAATGATATATTGTTTTCAAAAAATATATTTTCCATCCGCGGGCAAAAATGGCGAGATGTAAGAACCTTATTGAGTCCATCATTTACATCTAGTAAGATGAAAACCATGTTCACATTAATGTCGGAGTGTGCTGTGGACTTCACCAAATCTCTATCAGAAATATTAAGAGATAAGAGCGACATGGATATGAAAGAGTTGTTCACCAAGTATACGACTGATGTGATTGCCTCGTGTGCCTTTGGAATTAAAGTCGATTCCATGAAAAATCCTACCAATGAGTTCTACTTCTATGGTACAGAAGCGGCTAATTTCTTTAGAAAGAACGTTCTTCAGTTCTTCTTCTTTCGCACATTTCCGAAGCTCGCACAATTCCTCGGTCTAAGGTTTCTAAGCGACGGAGCCAGTAGGTTTTTCAAGGATACCATAAAGACCACCATCGACATGCGCGATGCCAAAAACATCACACGTCCAGACATGCTACAACTGATGATGGACAAAAGGGGTGAGAACAAGAGACAATTGGACATCGACGACATCACCGCGCAGGCATTCTTTTTCTTCCTCACCGGTTTCGAGATCAGCTCGAACGCAATGTGTTTCATAGCTCATGAGATTGCCGCTAATCCGGACATTCAGACGAAGTTACGGCAAGAGTTTGACCAAATTCTCAAAGACTCAAACGGAAATGTGACGTGCGACGCTATTAATCAGCTAAAATATTTGGACATGGTGATAAGCGAAAGTCTCCGATTGTATCCACCGGTAATGTTTGTTGAGCGAGAATGCGATAAGGCTTATGAATTACCACCCGCATTGCCGAATGAAAAACCCGTCATCATACAGAAAGGTCAGTTAGTTTGGATCCCAATCCACTCGATTCATTGTGATGAAAAGTATTATGATGAACCGGAAAAATTCCGTCCTGAAAGATTCTCAACCATGAGCTCTCACCACAAATCGTCGTATTACATGCCATTTGGAATAGGGCCGCGGATGTGCATTGCCAGCAGGTTTGCGTTACTGGAACTGAAAATCTTGGTGTTTCACCTGTTAGCGCGGTGCGAGCTGAAACCTTGTGCAAAAACCATGTTGCCTATGAAATTCAGTAAATTAGGTACACGTCTGATGCCAGAAAATGGATTCTGGTTGAGTGTCCAACGTAGAAGCGATATACAATCTGATTTGTGATTGAGTCAACGAAATTAATTCATAAAGACATTTTAAGCGCACTAAAAATATGAATAATATTAAACGTAACTTGTTTTATACTGTAACAAAAAGCGTTTCCAATATGTTTTATTTCATAAAAAATAACTTTTATCGTTATTATATCTATATTAACATTAAATATTGTTTGGTGATTGGTGATCGTTCCGTTAAATTTTATTTTTAACATCTGATGGCTAATTAAATACATTTCTCAAAAGTGAGGATATTTTAAACTCTAATTTTTCAAACTTATTACTTAACATTATTATAATTCGTTAAGTCATGTATCCATAATATGTACACTGATAGGAAAATATAATTGAATTAACTATAATCTCACTATACTTTATAGTTCATTTTGGCATCAACCATATTTTTATAGTTCGTGGAACCTGCAAAATATAGTAGAATAAACATAAATATATAGTCAATGATTGTCTGAAATAATTGTTTAGTTACTTTTACCACATATATGGTAATTTCTCATTCACAAATATAGTGAGAGTTAATATTCATATAGTTACATCTGTCATCATTTAGCAAATATTCGGGTAATATTGACTAATATAATAAAATATAATTATATAAATATAAAAAAATAATATAATAAAATATAATATATAATAAAATATAATAGAATAAAAGTGTTACTTTACCTACCATTTTATACCTGTATCCATACAATAATTTTAGTTTAACTTACTATAATTCTTAGTAAAAATATTACATGGCTGGTTATACTAAGTCTATATCGCAGCTATTACCGATATTATGGTAATACCTACTATAAATATGATATTTCGGACTATAATTCAGTTACTATAACATTATAGTTCAAAATATCTTATATTTTTCTCACAGTGTATATATACAGGATGTTTGATAGCTGATCATGCAGACGAAAGTTGGAGATAGATTGGGTATAGCCGAGAAGAAAAGTCATGTACCATAATGTCAAATTGGCAATAGTTACCGAGTTATTAATTAAAACATGTGAGCCAACGAGCGCGTAGAGAGCGGAGGGCGGCCGCAGTAAGCACGTAGACATTTGATACAGGCGGAGTCAGCGAGTGGTGGTAGGCGAGCGCGCGCGGCGGGAGGCAACGTAAGCGACAAGAGGCGAGCGAGCGCGACGAAGAGCGAACGAGCGCGAACGACGAGGAACGAGCGAGCGATAAAGAAAAAGCTGTAAAGAAAAAGCTCGCTCGCTCCTCGTCGCGCGCGATCGCCTCTTGTCGCTTACGTTGCCCCTCGCCGCGCGCGCTCGCCTACCACCACTCGCTGACTCCGCCTGTATCAAATGTCTACGTGCTTACTGCGGCCGCCCTCCGCTCTCTACGCGCTCGTTGGCTCACATGTTTTAATTAATAACTCGGTAACTATTGCCAATTTGACATTATGGTACATGACTTTTCTTCTCGGCTACACCCAATCTATCTCCAACTTTCGTCTGCATGATCAGCTATCAAACACCCTGTATACAAGTACATACTATGTCAGAGCTCGGCAAAAAATGCACGCAACGGCCGATTTTCGACTATCTCCGCCCACCGCTGTTCCCTTTACCTCGCCGCTTCGCATGCTACCCACAAGCCGCTCGAGCCTCAGGAGCGTGTTTACAATAGTTTTCCACGTCACCCATGAGGTACTATTGTTGACGCGTTTTTTTTTAAGTGGTATCCCCAGTAGGCCTAATCCACTGATGAATGTAACAACCCGTAACTAATTGAACAGAAGCGAAATAAAATATGTTAAATGAAGAATATTTAATTCGATTTTCGGCGTCTTTTATTAGTAAGAGCGGAAACGTCAATTTGCATATTGCATGTAGCGAGCCGCATAAGACGTGGTAAGGAATCGTCGTTTAAAGAAGAACGGTTCTCATTTTTTATAAACTTCATTTTCAAAAATGAAGTAAACTTCATTTTCAAACTTCATAAAGAAGAACGCTTCTCATTTTTTATAAACTTCATTTCAAAAGTGGAGTAAACTTATACGTATTACAACGGTTTTGCCAGGTTTTAGCAGCTCATAATAGATCACACCTTTCTGATCCTACCAAACACAGAGCATTGTCTTCCGTCCATAACGATTTGGCCTTGCAGTCGATGTCGATGGTTCGCCTGGAGTTACCCATGATCTTTTACACTTAGGATTCTCAAAATATATCCATTTTTCATCGCTAGTCACAATTTGATGGAGAAATGACTTTCTTTTATACCTGGCGAGCAGCATTTCGCAAGTGGTTTTTCGGATTTCCTGCTCTCTTTCATTCAATTCTTGTGAAATCCATTTTCCCATTCTTCTGGATCTTTCCCATGGCTTTCAAACATATGGAGAAGGCTTCTCGTGTCACATTTAATTGATCCGCGAGTTGTTGTTGCGTTTGAACGTAATCCTCATCCAACAATGCTTGCAATTCGCGGTCTTCAAACTTTTTCGGTAGTCTTCCACGTTCTTTGTTTCTCACATCAAAATCGCCACGTTTGAATTTTTCAAACCACTCAAAGCACTGTGATTTACCAAGAGCATGCTCACCGTAAGCTTCGACAAGCATTCGATGCGATTCTGCAGCAGTTTTCTTCAAATGGTAACTGAAAATCAATGCTGTCCGCAAATCGTAGCTTCTAGGCACAAAATTCGACATGTTCAACGCTATTACAAACTATGCTGTTGTATGAAACTTGTATTATTGTGAGTTAAAAATCTTTGTCAGATGTCAACAAATGGAAATGGCGCCAATGACGCGGTTTGACGGTAACTACATTGACAGCTAGGGCCATCTATGAGCAAATTCCGGTTTCATATTTTCAGACGAGTACCGCGATTCTGTAACTCGTTATTGAAGTTAACGACACTTTCGTTATCGTTGCGCAGCTTTTGTATACCGTAAAAAAGCTGCGCAGCGATAACGAAAGTGTCGTTAACTCCAATAACGAGTTACAAAATCGCACCACTGGGGCTGTATTCCGTACCTGCATATCGACAGTTGTCAGTGTCATTTGCGGCATTGCGCAGGTTTTTCATATAATAAAAAAGCTGCGCAATACTGCTGACGACACCGACAACTATCGGTACGCGAGTACGGAATATAGCCTCTGATGTTACTGAGACAATTGGAGAAATATCTTGCAGCTCAAAGTCTCTAGTATTTAAGAATATTAATATTATATTTCTTTTTTCATCATAATATGTAAAGTTAAATAATAACCGTTCAATTTTCAATATCATCTTTTAATTGAAGTTTAATATTGAAAAATTTATTTTTCTTTTATTTGGGAAATGTGATAAATTCGAGAGGAAAACTTTAAGTTTACTATACATATTTCATGTATCATATATCGTCTGACCTTTTATGGCCGATCTAATTAACTAGAGTTAAAATTGAAACCATAAATCTGCTTTAGAAGAACTTCTGAACTAATTCAATAAGTTAAAATACCACAAATTTGATTTTGAAGAATTTCCGAACTAATTTATATATATATATATAATAAGTTAGAGTTTATAAGGCTACTATTCTCGATTCTATTCTCGACTCTTTTCGAACATCCTTCTCCCCTTTTTGCGAAAGTAACCAATCATGACACGTGGTCAATCATGAGTCACGCAACCAATCAACGTGCGCCAGCTGGGATTCTGAGTTTTTGACAGCAGTCAACGTGTATAAAACTAAGCGCGGAATAGTCGTGGTTGATGTATCACAGGGTATTCGTTAAAAAAGTAAGTGAATGAATTAAAATCATCGGGTTCTACTCGATTATCAAGCAACGGAGACATCGCATTAAAGGTATGCGCATTATTAGATCAATCGTAAGGATATATAATTTGCACTTTACACTTGTTTTCTGAATAACCTAATATACGGTTAACATTTAGAAATTCATCCATTTTTTCAATAATCTGACGATTTTTTACATGCTTTCGTTGACGATTATAGATAATATTTTATATAAAAGCTCTATAATATTTACTGAGTTAAAATGAACATTTCATATTTTACAATGTTTTTTTAACATATTATGGATAAATAAAAACAATCCGAATTTGTTAGATAGATAAGGCAAATGTTTACAATACTACAGAGAAATGCTGTAATAAATTTTTTTCTTGTCTTTTACAAAAAAATGAACATTTGATGTAATATTGGCAGATTTATCTATATGAACTCACTATCAGAGTATACTTGAATATTTATTTATGTATATATTTGTTGTAATTTGTGATATTTCTTTTAACAGGAAACAAGAAATAATGAATACTTCAGTATCTTTAATACTTTCCATATTTCTTGCATTTATAAATGCTGTTATAGCTTTAAGAGAAGGTGATTGTGAAGGTAGGTCTTCTTGTATGATTCATCTTTGAATACAAATTTATATAAAATTCTATAATATTTTACTTTTTATATATATTTTTCTATATATATGTGCAATTTTACAGTATGCGTTGCTGTTGTGAACAAATTTAGTGAAACATTAACATCAGATATTAAAAATGATCCTAAGAAGATTGAAGCAAAGTTTCGGGAATTCTGTAAAAGTACAAAATCTAAAGAAAATAGATTTGTAAGTCTATATATGTGTGGATAAGATGTAATAAAAGTAAACATAAATCAAGTTTTACCTGAATGAATGAAATAAATAGAACTAACTATTATATATATTTCTAGTGTTACTATTTAGGAGGATTAGAAGAATCTGCTACAGGTATTTTAGGCGAACTTAGTAAACCAATATCATGGTCTATGCCTGCTGATAAGATATGTGAAAAATTGAAGAAAAAAGATGCTCAAATATGCGATTTACGATTTGGTAAGTGCTCCATGTTTATTTATTGTAATTTTTATTATATGTTATGATTATAAGATTAACTTTGTGTTTATTATTAACAATAATATTCTATTTTAGAGAAACAAATTGATCTCAATACAGTAAATCTGAAGAAATTAAAGGTACGTGATTTAAAGAAGATTTTGAATGATTGGGAAGAAACATGTGAAGGTTGTATAGAAAAGACAGACTTTATTAAACGGATTGAAGAACTCAAACCTAAGTATTCTAGTAGCAACTCAAAGACGGAACTTTGAAAGATTGTCTTTGATTTAGATACGCAATTATGTTAGTATGGTAAAATTTCGGTCTTTTCAATTTGCAAAGGAATTGTTTACAATATTTAGAATATATATTTACCTATGTCTACGTAATGTATAATTGTTCAATAAAAATTTGTCTTTAGTGACAATTTTTTAAAATAAAATAGGTTCTGTCAAATGGAATAGCAATATTACAGATGTCGCTATAAAATAAAAATTAGAATGAAACAAAGAAAATAATGGATATTGAATGTTTCATGTCAAATAAGATTTCTATATTCCAATAATTTCGAGAAACGCATATATATGAGCAATTTGATTTTTCTCTGATGCAGCCATTATAACAAGGTATCTATCTTATCAAAGGTGCTCCGTTTTGTGACATAAACGTTAGATGTAAATTAATATATATATACAATGTTTGTACGAAAAATTATTTTCCCACATATATTTATCTTCATTGCTCTTCCTCATATAGTATAGAAATATGCAATACATTTGTATAATGTCTGAATATTTATACCAAAATGCAGTATACTGTGTCGAATGATATGTGTAAAATGTACTTTACCCAACTGCTATGCGTTATTGCAAAACTTGTTTTTCGTTACATGTTATGTATGAAATACGAACAATTAAACAATAGAATATATCTCACGGCTAGTATTCGTACAACCATCATCAATAACATCAATAATGCCAACTTTTTGAGATAAGAATCGTTTGTACTGATATACATCGATTTTTCTAGTTAAACACAATAAGGATATGTACTTGCATATAAAATATTGTAAAATTAATGTTTATGATAAATCACGTAAATAATTGTACAGATAAGGTATATATCTCAATACTATGTATTACTTTGAAACATTTTCTCTACAAGCTAAGTTATTTATTTGATGATAAACTGTATAATTACGTTTTCTATTATATTCATGAATCTTGATACAAGAGGTCAGGAAGAAATAAAGGCATGTGTGCACACACACATGTTGTTACAAAAGTGGAGTCATTTTACTAAACCTTCATGGAACATTGCATCGAATTTTCTTAGCCATTGTTACAAGCGAGTTACATGCTTTTACTTCCGTCGCATTTCAATAATCCGCTCCATTTTCCATCAGCTTGACACGTTATTACTCCTTGTTCTTTGTTATCAGGACACACATAAATTAGTTGATCTTGGAACAAATATGAACGACCACGAAGTACGATTCCATATTGGATCTGTGGCTTACCACATGATATTTCTGTAAACAATGTTTTTATCAATATAATCTGGTATAATTTTTCAAAAATTAATTGATCTATCGATCTGTCTACATACGATATCTATATGCATTATTATACATACTTGAACATTTGCCATTCATTCTGGACCATTTTCCGCTTCCTAGACATCTTAAGCTTGCTTGTCCAAATATACGATACCCTGGCACACATTGATAAGAAACCATGTTGCCAAAAGTGAAATTTTGAGTTCTGTCGATATCTTTCTTCAATATTGCATTAGCAAGGATAGGTGGTTCTCCGCATACTACAGCTAAAAATGTTTAATATTTTTATACTTATAGCAATTATATTTTGTATGTATTGGGAAAGTAAATTCACAAAGAGAGAAACACGAGAAGTTCGAAGGAAAAATTCGACGTACCTTTGCAGAAAGGTAAAGCAGACCACGTACCGTCGGACAAACAGATTGATTCTTTATTACCCTGAAGTATATATCCGTGACGACACTTGAAAGTGATGACACTGTCCACTGCCTTGCGACCATTAATATCCATGTCGGTGTTATTATTGTTGTCTATATATCCATGTTCTGGTATCTGAACGAATCAGATTATGATATACTCAAAAAAAATAGGCGCAGTGCATCACAATAATGAAAAAATTGAAGATTATAACAGAGATTTTTAACTTCTATTTTTTCTATAATAATTTATATTTCCGGATCTAGGTTTTTTTATTTAAGTTGCTTTTGTATTAATGAGTATTTTTAACGGATAACTATAACGGATAAATATCATCCGTTGTTACATGTCCATATAAAAGTGTTTATAGAAATCTGCATTTAATTTACCTGTGGGAACGCACATGATCTATCGCAGACCTGTAGCGAATCGTTCAACAGTCGTTCGCTGAATATATATTGCTGTAACGATAAATTCAAGATCTCCCATTTCGCAGTCTCATTACAAATCCATGTTATGTTCGAAGTAGTTACATTAGTAATGATCCCATTTAAATTCATTCGCGTATTATTACGACACGATAAGGCTATTCGTTGCCTGTAACTTTTCCCTTCGATAAGTACTTCGAAATTCTTATATGTGCCCGTGATGTTTCCCACACTGTTCCATTTCTCATCGAATTCAAGCTGTGCAATATTTGTATCGTTCTTGAAATACTCTTTGTCCCATAATTTTGTGAAAAATTTAAGAATCGGATGATCCCCGAAGGAACAGTTGCGAAGCTCGCAGAAAGCGGAAGCTGATGACCAACTTCCTTCCTCGGTACATGTTCTGACTTCGTCTCCGATTAATTCGTATCCCGGATCGCAGACAATGATGATTTCTACACCGGAAACGAACATTTCCGGAGAAACTTTCCTTACCGCTGTACCTTCGCTATTCTCCTCTAAATAATCGTTATCCGATATTGTATCATTCCTCATCGGAATTTTCATTGTAGTATTATCTTGCTTTTTGAGGAAGATATTTGCATCTTTCATGGGAGCTGGCCAGGGACATACACGTGGTACGCAATCGGGAATGAAACCCGTCCAAGTACCGTTATCAGAACATTGGAGTTTGAATTCCATTAATGAACTGTTACTTCCACGGAATCTGTAGCTCTTATGGCAAGAGAAACTAATAACATCACCATAATAATACGTTCTTCCTGAAAGATCGTCTATTGTATTTTCTTCAGGATTATAAATAAAAGTTCCATTCTCAAACTTGTCGGAATTCTGGAAGCTGATGTACCCGTGTTCTAATCTACATTCGGAGTATTAAACGATTTTGAATACACGTTAAAAAGAGAGATTGATATGCATTATTTTGAGATAATTTGACTTTTAGTTTCATTTGAATGTAGATCTTAATATCTTAATAATATAAAGGATCGATCTTTTTTACTAAAATCTAAAACAAATCTGAGTAGCTCTCAATATATGTTTAATCGCTCGATAAACGTACCGTTTTGGCGACGGACATCCATAAGGTATACAAGTTGGCCTGTCATGATCCCAAATTCCAGTTTCTAAGCATGTCAAATATCTTTCTCCCACCAAATGGTACCCAAGATTACATTTAAATTCCAATTGTTGGCCAGCCTGAAGTAAAGAAATAATTAAATATGAAAACGAATCTTATACATTTTTCTCGCTGCAGAATATATGCAGAATACACATACACACCTGCAGTATCGTGATGTCGTCCCTTTCATTTTCCTCCAATATGTATTCTATATCTCCATTTTCCGGTGCGAGCAAGTTTTTGCATGTTGTACCTATCGTAGAGTAATAAGCTAATGAGATATTTCCGAACTTGAAATGTTCAAACATACTTTGGTTTATATATCTCGGAAATGAACTAACTTGCTCTGCGTAATCATTCTCGACTTGTCGAATAGAAAAGTATAAAAAGATTTCACTGCAGATTAAGTGCTTTCAAGTTAAAATCAACTTAGTCACAATTCGACATTTACCATTAATTCACTATGTTCGATTCGACGCAGATTTAATACTTTATATAATCATTACCTATGCAAATCGGAGGCACTCCTATCCACTTCCCATCGGAATTGCAAATTCGATGAGGATTCCCCCGCAGCTCATAGCCATTGGCACAAAAGTAATATATTTTATCTCCGAATGAATATGATCTGCCTTGAATGTATCCGCGTGGGAAGTTTCCCGGAAAGCCGCACTTTATTTCTTCAACACAGAATTGTCAAGATTAAGACTCTCGATCTTTTCAAAGAATGAAGTTCTCAGAAGTTCAAAGAAGTATTCAGATATTTATCATCCCTGCCTCGTCCTTTTATGCTATATTAATTAAAACAATGAAACTCTCTTACTTGTACAAGTCGGTGTGTCATATCCTTCCCATTGACCGTGCTTAAGACATTTTCTCTTGAAGGATTTGTATTCCTTGCCGCCAAACCGAATTACGTATCCGTTGTCACAGTAGTACGTTACCTCTGACAAATCTTCGCTCACGTTAAAGTTACCTTTGAAAGGCACTACGGGTAAAGGGCAGCCACGACAAAACGGGCTTGCTAATATCTAAAGACGTCGACGGTCACTCAGAGAATCTGTCGTTAAAATCTTGCTGGAAAAAGAGCTTTGCAGCTCGACAAGATATAATTACCAAAACGTCGCCATGAATGTATTGTCGTACGTGTGCCCATGCTACGACGTTCCCATGATATTGTTCACAACTGTTCCACAACGTTGTGATATTATGTTCGTTCAACACGGTTTCCCACATATCCAGCAAGCTAAGCTTTCCCAAGAACGCTTCCGCCTCGGAAAATCCACCGCCCAGGCGATCCTGCTCTTGCCCGATAACAAGAGATCCATTGGCTAATCGGAATATATGTTCTCTCATTTTATTTTGTTTCATTTTTATTTATTTCTTCTTTTTATATCGAGGTATATTACCTTGTATGACGGTTCCTTGAGCTAAATTAACACCGCTGTCCTTGAGAATACCATCGATGAACACACGCCAGGAGCCAGACTCACTCTCCCAAGTAACGCATAAAAAGTGCCAGTAACCATCGTTAACTTTAATATCGGTGACGACTTTCTCCCCGTTAATGTACAAGACAAATCTGCAATAATGTTACTTCTATAAGCAATTTGCTTGCGAGTAAACTTTTGTACTAAAAGTCGCTGAAAATTGTTGATAGAATGTTATTTTAATACATTCAATATTATATAACATTTTCCAAAATCTGTTTTTTAACATTCGATCGACACCATTACGAATGACTTCAGTATTTTGTTATTTTTAAAACATTTTTACAATATTCGAAAAGATCATATTATTCGGTATCATTAAAAAATATATAATAGATAATATTTGAAAAATATCAAAAGAAAACGTTCAAGAGATACACATGAAATCAACAGTTCAAGATGTTGATGTGTATTGCTCTTTGTTTATTAAATTCAAAAATATTAACAGCGATTGTGACAAGATATCCTAAATTTTTTCACGCTGTTATACCTCTCTTACCATTATACTTAATTATTATTACCCATTATAGTCCGTCAGAGTGAAAACATTATCGTCGAACGTCGTGGCGTACGACAACACTGTACCATAATTGAAGCTGTCTACTGAATGTAACCATAAGCAAACAGACAACTGCAATCAATATCGCTCATATAGAATTATCATGCTCAGTAAAATATCTCATTAATTTGGCTTATATATTTAGCATAGCCATATTTTTCTTTTTATATATACCTGAGAAAGATCCTTCGTAGGTCCTTTCATAATGACGTAATCCGTAGTGCCGGACTTGGTAAAGCGTATCGCATAATCAGACGACAGTTCTGCGATCGTCGCGGAAAAATATCCCTAATTAATAAGTTCCTCTTTCCTAAATATCTATATAAAGCTATATTGCTGAAGAAACACATGAAGTTTCAACTTGCCCGTTTCGCAATTGCGTCCAGTGAAAAGAACGGGACAGTCGCAAGTGTAATTGAAAATGTAGTTAATGCAATTCCCATTGTTTAAGCAGGGCGAACTTTCACAGTGGTTGGTCTTGGTCGTGCAATCCTCCCCTGTGTATCCATCGGGACACTCGCATCTGGACCGGCCATACATGCAATTTCACGTACGATCAATTTCCAATCAGATATGAAGCGCTAAGTTACCTGTAACTTCTTCGCGTCGCATTTGCTTCTTTGACGTTGATGCAAATCGCGTTTGCGTGACACGGCAACCAGTCGCAGGGTAACAAGTTACAATGACGTCCCAGGAATCCAGGCTTGCAGAAGCATTTCCAGGTCCCGTCTATAGTGCGACATATAGATCCTTCCTCGCAGGGCATAAGTTCGCAATGATCCATCGATATCTCGCAAAATTGACCTAAATAATACCGCTTCAATAATACATTATGTTCTATGAATGCTTGATATAGCATTAAATTTACTTTTACGCGAGTATTCTTATAAAAGTATATTTAATATTACATAGAAAATAGAATTGTAAAATTCGTAGAAAATATTCCAAATGAAAATGAAGTAAGCCACAAATATATAATAAACGAAAGAATACTAATGAAGCATACATTAAATATAACATTATCCGAAAGAAGGAAAAAGTTTTGCATAAAATATTAGTAAGAGATGCACCTTCAAATCCATCCTTACAAATGCAGGTGAAATCGGTTGCGGTACTCACACATGTTCCTCCGTTTTCACAAGGATTAGTAGAACATTCGTCTATATAAATCTGTGAAACAAGCAGGATTAAATATCTATCTAAACGAATCAATTTTTATCTACTTTATATGACTTGAATTTGTCACATGTCAGTGTGAATATCCAGAGATGCATTATATATTTTAAAGTTAAAATGCATTAACTTACCTCACAATTGACACCTGTATAACTGTTCTTACACGTACAATTGTACGTTATAGAATTATTGTAATATTTTTGTATTTTGCACACCCCTTCGTTCAAACATGGGGAAGAATCACATGGATTTCTAAACATTTCACATTTCGATCCTGAACGAATAAAACCGCGAAAAAAATATTACAGAGGAAAACATTACATATTAAAAAAAAACTACGTACTTATAAAATTACATATTTCGAAAATATTATATATAAAAATATTTCTCATAAAAAGTAGTGCTATATGTAATCGTCAATCAAGAAATAACTGCAGCGTGTAAAAGAAGCAAACGATGACATTATTGTTTCATTGTTACAGTTAGATAAATATATAATACTCTTACCTACATACCTACATAATACTCTTGACATACACAAACGAAATCATTTTCAGACTGAACACATCGACCTCCATTTAAGCACGGGTCCACCCGACAATCATCAATTTCCTTGTCGTACAGTGATAAGCAATGTCCGATATCTGTTGAGCCACGTCTCTCAGTTGTTGTATTTAGTGGACATGGCATACATTGAGTTTGTCCATAATTTGGCTGATAAAAGCCAATGTCACACGTAAAACAAGGCTCCATGGCCATACCTGAGCCTTGGTAGCGTTTACGTCGAGAGTAATATCCTGCTCGGCATATGGCTATAAAATAAGGATATGTATATATAAATATGATTGTTAGATTTTTTAATACTTATAACTTCACTAATTTTTACGAAAAGATTAGAGGAAAATATTTTCCAAGACTTGCACACATGCATCTATTTACCAGAAAGAGAAAAATACATAATATATTATAGCCAATATTTCCGATTTAAATCTTACGAATGCAATCTTTTAGAGATTTTGCATGCATCCTCTTCGTAAAAGTATGTTCCGGACAGAGTGTGCACTTCAATGAAGCAGTCGTATTTTGATAATATCCGAACGGACATGGTTGACAAATTTTAGTAGTAGAATTGTGAAAAGTACCCGTAGGGCATTTCACTGTAAAAAATAACAAAAAGAGATGATGCTTATTATATTAACCTATTTGTCTTAAAAACATTATTATTTGCAGTAGAAAATGTGCAGGACTCACCGCAGCTGTATTTCTTGAACATGTTCCCAGGATCGCAAAGTCCTTGAGGTTCCTTGAATACAAGATGTAAATTCAAAGCGAGCTTGGCAATCTCCTGATTAGTTCTATTATTGAGTAAATCTAATTTTCCCATCTGCATCATCGCATTGATTTTTTCTCGCAATTTCTGCACTCCTCGTTTGGGATTTTCGAAGTTCTCATTGATTATTCTGCCTGGAAAGATTTTTTAATATATTATTCAAATGTCGATTTTCACCGTGACCGGAATAAACGTGAAATGCTATATTTCTTTGTTACCTATGAACTTGAATTTAATGTCTATCCTTTCCCTCTTTCGTTTGGGTCTAGTTTTATTTTGATAGGAATTAGAATTAAAATTGATTGTGCGTCTCAGTCTCTTGATTATTATTATTTGATTGTCTTTGAAAATATTTGTAGATCGCGTGGGATTATTTTCGGGCTGGTTTCTTCGTTTTCTTATCAGGTTGTCATTGAAATTCTCAGGTGATAATAAATCTTTGCACTCAGGATCGAAGTTGATTAAATTACATTCAACGTCATTACCGCAAATATCATTTAGTTTCAATTTCAAATTGTTGTTGATGTGATCATTTAACTACGCATAAGGGAAAACATGATTTAAGTTACGCCACTCTCTATATCAATGACATAAAAGAAATATTATTAAAATATTCTATCAAACAATTTAAGATATATTTTAGACACATTCTCGTGCTGTGTTTGAGAATATAAATACTTACTTCATAAAGAGTAGTTTGGTTGGCACATATCGTGTTACCATTATTTTGCAATATTACGTTTCCTTCCTGAGATATTGTCTTTGGTACTTGGGTTTCTATCGATTATTAGAGTTATAATCTAATTAGAATAATAGACAATCGATGATTCTTGATAAATTTAAGCAAGTTTATACCTGAACATTCCGGCAGATTATTGTCCTCCCATGTATGATTGCCCAAATTACATTTTAACAATAGTTCGTCATTAACAACATTGAAATTCATCGGTTCGATAGCGAAGCCGTAGCCACTATTACAGATTACAACACATTGTCTCTCGTGATCGCCCGTCGAGGAGCAATTTAACCGGCTATTAACAGGTGCTTTCAAGCTTTCACACACATCTAGTAAGATTTACATAATGCAGAATTAAATATGAATTTAAAATGATTTAGAAATAAGCTCCTTTTAGTCATACTTCGTATCATTGAAGAAAATTGAATAAAATAAATCTTCAAGCTATCGAGTAAAATAGTTTGTTGTATAACATAAGTAAAATAAATATACCTTCTACTGTAATATTCAACACACAATTTGCCAGATTGCCATACTTATCGGTAGCACTGTAGAAGACTCTTGTTTGGCCAATCGGAAAGATGCCTTCACCAGGCCGGTGACTTTGATTAACTTGCACCGACGTCCTCGAATTGTCATAAAAGACAGGTTCCTCCCATATCACGTTTTCAAGACCCTTACCGAGTTCGGTATAAAATATTGGCGGGTCGTTACAATTCTCGACCATCGGTGGTTCTCTGTCTATGGTCGCATTTAATAAATGCATTTATTGCGCTCGAATTTCACCGACATATTAATGGACTTTCTATTACATTTCTATACCATACAATAACATACCAAGAACTTTGATTTTGAATTTGCATCTGGCTTTGTTACCGCCCGCATCTTGCGCTATATACACGACAATGCGCGTGCCGATTTTCGCCTTCCACGGAAAAATGATGTGCGGTTTCGTCCACACGATGGGTGGTTCAGCCGCGTTATCTGTCACCTCCGGTGTCGACCAATTTACATATGCGTAATTCTGATCTTTTGCGGTTTCCATGACGATGTCGGATGGACACTTTATGGAAGGTGGCACTTTGTCTACGTGTCAGCGTCAGAGTGGAAAGCAGAAGAGAAACAAAAATTTTTGACGATAGTCTTAATAATAAGGAAAGATGTGTATTGTACATTTAATATACTGATATCGTAATTGGGAAATTGAAGAGCTAAGATTTAAAGAAATATCTCAATTTTATACCAACCCACGCATTGATTAACATTATGACGTTGTGACCAAATTCCCGCGCGTCCAGAGCACGATTTGCTGGAAGGTCCTACTAGAATGAAACCTTCGCGACAGCTAATGCTGCAGTTAATAGCGAAAGGAACTTTCGCTGCACCGACACATATTTCCGGGATAATATCGCCATTTTCGAGTTTGGGAAGAGGTTCACATTTCACAGCTGCAACAATATTCCTATTAATTTGGATACAACGTTGAATAATTCAACTCCTTGCGGTCCGCGAATGAGCGGAAAACTGTTGATAAATATGAATTTATTGCTATATACAAATACACACATGATTGATAAAAAATCTGAACCTTGTAACAAAATAGATCAAAGCACTTTAACTTTAACAATCCTTGTTTTCGATAATAAATTTACTAGCTGTCATGAATTTATTGACGTACAAATACATGTATAGTTGATAGAAAATGAATTTTGCGATAAATAAATTGAAGTACCTTAACTTCTTTGATAACTATTGTTTCTTTCATTTTCGCGATGGCTTCGTATAAATTCGCGGATCGCAATGTGATAATAGCAAGCACATCGTATTTTACCTTTGCAAGTGACCTTCAGACCATCCCATCGAGATAAAGGTAAGCAATTGCGCACTTTACTGCCGCGAAGCTGGTAACCAACGTCGCACTTGAATAGACAACGAGTATCGATCGGATAGACGGTAGAATCTTCTTTGAAATGATGCTGATAGTCTTCATCATGTTCGCATTTCATATGGCCGTGTGCGGGTGGACGGATCGCTGGACATGTCTTCACTGTTTAACACATGTCTTCATCGTTTAAGTCTTATTTTTCATTGGAGTGTATATTTTCGAGGGAATTAAAGGTGGAGAAAATTATTAATTTGAGGACAAATTTGGTTGTAAATTTGTGGAGAAGAATGACTATTTTCTGAAACTATTCTCGGATGTTCATCTTAAATTTAGTTATTTAGTTTTGTTTTATGTTACGCGTTACGGCAACTCCAATCGTCCGTTGAATTCTGCGCTCTCTTCCGAATATTTCTCAAATCTATAGTTACTCACGTAAACATTGCGGTTCGTTGCCGGACCAAGAGCCATTCTTTCTGCAAAGCCGAATGCTGTCTCCTGTAAGGTGGAAACCGATCTTGCATCTTATACCACATGCCGCGTGCACCACGTTGCTGCAGGCACTCGCTTTTACCAAATAACCGTTATCTGGGACTTTTAACTTCGGGCATGTTATAGCTGCAAATACATACAGTTGTTAAAATATATGTCTTGAATGACTTCAAACGATTAAATCGCATGACGATTGAATCGCTTCGAAATGAAAGGATGATAGTCCGCTAAAATGTTACAATCTTGAATGTTTTTAAATGAGTAACAGGAACATTAGCATTAATCAATTTCACTATATTAGAATATCTCAAGCTAAAGTCAATTATTTGACTTCCGGAGAATTTGAATCATGTGACCGTTGCGAAAGCAGCTTTGATCATTATCATAAATTTCTGACTATAAATTTCCTCATTAGGCACGATTTGAAAGGAGAATTGGTTCTATGTTTGCTTTCACAGATATTACAGTTATTGAATGAGAATAATCGATATTGACAACGCGAATATACGCGTGCATGGCATTACCTTCGCATTTCAAACCGTCTGTGGTAAAACCAGAAGCACACACGCAATCGTTCACTGAAACCGCGGGCACTTTGATCGTAACATGATTCACATCTGGACAAGGTATGCACACTGACGTAGAATCCCCATAAATGTTCTCCGAAGCATACGTTCCATTTTGACATGCTGTTAAAAAAAATGAAAATAAAATAATTGAAATAAATAATACTCCGGAACACTATCGATCAGCCGCATTAGTAGTCAACCTACGTTGACAGGTGTCTTTAAGACCAGAACCGAAATAACCAGGTGGGCAAATGCAGGCGTAATGACCAGTTGCAGTGCCGCAGGTACAAATTGCTCGATCGTCGCAGCAAGTTTGATTCGTTGTGCTTTCTGCGCACAAGCTGTTACAATCGGTGGACAAAGTCACGGGCACATACTGTCCAGTTTTTAAATCTAAAACATTTTTTAATTCAAGGCTTTAAGTCCAGCTTTTAAGTATAAAAAGTGATATCTAGTTTGTTATTCGTTATATATATAGTTATATATATAGTTCGTTATATATATAGTTTGTTATTCGAGCAGTTCTCTTTCTGAGCGAAGATACACGCGGAAAAATATATATATACTGCATTCAAATAAATGTTACTTATCCCAAGTATTTTTATTAAGTAAGTTTATATATTTGCAAAAATATAAGTTCGTCAAAAGCATTCAATTTATTCAATTTATTCAAATTTTGAATCATAGTATGTTTAGTACTTCAATTAAGAATATTAAATTGAAACAATTCAATTTACTTCCTTTATAGAATATTAGTTTTATAATATTCTAGAAAAGAAAAGAAATTTTTCTTATAAGTACACGATAATAAACTTTTGTAAAATTTGTGATGAATACGTTATCAAACTTTTACCAGAAAAATATTCTTGAAGATAATGATTAATTAAAAAAAGGGAAGTAAGCTGATTACTGTCCTTAGCAATAGAATATTTTTCTGTATGTAGTTTAAATATTAAGGAATAGCAAGTTTTTATACAACAAATATGTGATAAAGCACGCACCACGATGTAAAGCGCGGCGTGCCAAAGCCTCAAATTCCGCAAAACTGTCAAGCAGGTAACTATGCGTATACCCGGGAAAACTGGCAATATCGTGCAGTTCTTCCACATTGCCTGTGCGGATACCAAACGTGAATACCGTTGCACCTGCGTTTTTCAAGAGATTGGCAGCAGGTCGTGGATCACCACCGTTGCTGAAGCCATCGGTGATCAGAAATACCACTTTACTCGCTTCTTCACGGCTTTTTTCAAGAATCGCCTTCGAAACAATAGTCAAATATATTTTTTTTCATCGTGCCCTGTAACTTGCCTTTTTTTGTAACATGTAAATTAGAGATAAAAGAATTCGAAGAATATACACTTGGTTTCAATACACAGTTTGAACATTTTTCTCTCGGTTATAGTTTGGAATGCAGAGCCGATGGTTCAATGAGAAAACTCAAGTTCCAGAAATTAATTCAAAACAAAAAAAGCGACCATAAATCTTTACTTCTAATTCGATTTCATAAAAAGTAAATACACATGTACATTTCCAGATGCTTTCAAATTAAAAAATCTTCATTCTTCACGAGTTCACGCCATAGGAAAAGATTCATAATCGACTCGAAGTTCAATCATTAGACCATCATAGTTTTGCTCCAAACTGTATCGCGAAAAAAATGTTCAAATCGTACTGAAACCAAGTGCATAATATTAAAGAAAAGATAAAAGAACCGAGGCACTCATCGGCACAGAGTACTTACCAACGCTTCGAGAAGCGCACCACGCGTGTAAGTTCCTCCGCCACTATAAGCGATTTCGTTGAACTGCTTGTTCAGCAAGTAACACTTGTGATCGTTTCCTCCGTGTCTGGAGATTTGATCAACATTGCGGGTTACGTTCCTTGGACTGCCAAAAGTGATAATCGCGACGCGAGCGGCCGTCGCGTCCACCGTGAAATCCGACAAGAGCTTCGTCACGAAGTTCAGCTCGCTGCGGAAATTCTCCGCGCCGACCGAACCGGACGCATCGACCAGAAACATCAGTTCTATCTGGCACGATTCAGACAAATCGTCCATTCGTCATCATTAACATCGCAGATCGTTAAAAGACTAAATCGAGCAATCGTGTCGCGCTCTTAAATACATCACACTTTTCTCACATGCTTCGTTAAGAGAAGGAAAAGAAGGAAGAGGTGTGCATTAGGTCTACCCTTTCTTTATCTACCTGATTGGTCTTATTTCGCAACCGGTCTATGTCAATCTTCAGACGGCGGGACAGGATATCGGTTTTGCTTTTCAGCATTTTGTCCACGTCGTCCAAGTGCTCGTACCAGTAACGCTGATCCCCATTCTTCCTTCGATCGATATTTAAGAATGTCGACGTTATATTGCCCCGATCTGCGCCGGTTTCCAGGCTGCTGTTCATTCCTTTAGCGAAAGTTTCCGCACATTTTGCAAAACATATAAGAAGCGCCCCGACCGTTAGCAACAAGATCTTGATAAAGAAATCCATTGTATAGCGCTGAACGGATTATCACCATTAATATCGAATAAAATCTCTCGAAATCGGTTATCACACTCTACAGCCAAGAGTTAGAAACACGCGGGCAGCATCGCGGAAGCGCATCTTTCCCGACGTTCACTTAACACGAAAAGTCCGCTTACTTGTCAATAGATTAAACGTACATCACTAATGAGAAGCAAGCTTTATCAGTCGTCTCGAAGGCCGGAAACGTCATCAGTCTCGCGTAAAAAAAACTTTGCGCGTATATTCAATTATAAAAACATGACAGACTGATCGATCGCGCACGCACAAACGAGGCGCAACACTGAGGCCAACACAAACATCAGAATCGAGTTAAAGAATTAAAATGCGAAAACACCAGAGAACAAAGGAGCCTTTGTTCAACGTTTCTTGAGTATTGCACATGTGTTTGTTTGAAAGTCTACGATTCCTCTCTTTGCGCACGAGTTATTGGCTCTTCGATTAATTCTACTCACAATCTGCGGCTGACATATAGATCCAGCATTGATTCTCGTTGGATTCTCGATAATACGCTCCTCGTTGTTTCGCAAACTGGCGTAATACGTAAAAATATAAATACCGCACGTGCAAACCGCCGCACACAAGAATGCCGTTTGATATGCGCTAATGTATGAAAAAGAGGATATAAACTTTATATTAATTTTATTCTTTATGTTCTTGTTACATATATACACATATATGTGTATATATATGCATATATATACACACATATACATCGATGTTAACACTTGAACAAAATACAAGCCTCAAATCTGAATATTTAACATTTAAATCTAATTTTAATATATTTAATTCTTACCTATTTTAATTTCAAGTTCAGTATACAAACTAGTGTATATATAATTTAACGCTTGTGTTAATATAACTAATTAATTTGGAACAACTTTTAAACAAAAGTTTTAAACAAATACATTACATAAGATGTAATAGAAATATGTACAAGGTATAAAGTAAAATTTAAATATATGATAAGACTGATTAAATATATGATATGACTGATTCAAGACTAAAAAATTATACCTTTGGAGAAAATTCAATGTTAATTATGCAGAATATTTTACAAATAAATAAAATGTTAACCATAAATTAATTACCATTAATTAATGCTCATTTAAGACACCATTTTCGGAGTCACTTTTAGGATTACTGAAGTCATCAGAGTCAAGATCACTAACACTGCTGGTAGAATCACTGCTTGACGTGGTAGTTCTTGTTAGGTAGTTTCCAGAATCTGTTTCGTAATCTGTATCAGTACTGTCTGTTGAACTTGAACTGCTTGAAGATAACCTGGATCTATACATAGAGTAAATATGTGAAAACAAAGTAGAAATAGTTGTAGTAATGTAGGCTTATATTTTGCATTCCTATTATTAGTAGGAATTTTTATATATTTTAATTATTAGTACAATATATGTCAATATGAAATTATTTTATCTTATAATTACATCTGTGGAATAGATATATGCTGATAGATAAGTTGTTAAGATAATCCAATGTTAATTTAGAAAATCCAAATGTATTGCATGGTGTATCAAGACAAATAGTGCACAATAATAATTATATGTGTTTCTATATGTTTCTATGTGTTTCTACGTGTTTCTACGTGTTTCTATGTGTTTCTACGTGTTTCTATGTGTTTCTAGGTATTTCTATGTGTTTCTGTGTGTATGTGTGTGTGTGTGTGTGTTCTGTGTGTATGTGTGTGTGTGTGTGTTCTGTGTGTATGTGTGTGTGTTTCTGTGTGTATGTGTGTGTGTTTCTGTGTGTATGTGTGTGTTTCTGTGTGTATGTGTGTGTATGTGTGTGTTTCTGTGTGTATGTGTGTGTTTCTGTGTGTTTCTGTGCGTTTCTGTGTATTTCTGTACGTTTCTGTGCGTTTCTGTGCGTTTCTGTGTGTTTCTGTGTGTTTCTGTGTGTGTGTGTGTGTGTGTGTGTGTGTGTGCGCGCGCGCGCGTGTGTGTGTGTGTGTCTGATATATCAAGTAAAAAAAAAAAAAATAGAAATTGCTAAAAAATGAAACAAAAATTATTAAATTGCAGTGACTCTTTTGTTAGATAAAGGAGCATACAGCATGCAATATAACTTAAAACAATTTATAACAAATATATTAGTCACCAGCAAAACATACATTGTATGCCACAAGTTTTGTTAAGATCACATGTATTATATCTATATATACTATTATTATTATTATTATTAAGGATTTATTTGGATAAGGAATTGGATAAGGAGTTATATACATATATAATTATTAAGCTATAATTATATAGCTGTATATTTATATGTATGTGCATGTGTATGTAGCAATAAAAAAGAAATAAATTTTATAAAAATAGTTACCACGCTTTGCGTTAAATGGTAATTACTAATGGTTAAGCTAAGTATATTAAAGTACTTACAAATGTTTAAAAAACTGTTTTTGTTTAACATGGTACATATTCTTTGGCCTTTAAAATAAAATTATATGAAATGCATAAAACATTTGGAATACGTCTGGTTACAAAGCAGAAAAATATAATCTACTTACTTTTCTTCCTCTTCGTCTTCAAGAGCCAATGCATTTATTTGTTCAGTGGCCTCATAAATAGTATTTGCTATAATAAGTTCTTTGTGAACAGTATGACCTTCTGCTTCTAATTTCACTAAACCGAATTCCATATTTACCTTGTCAGGATAAACCTTTATAATTAATAAATATATAAAGTAAAATAACATCAAATAAGAGTATATGAAAAATATAATTTTTATGGAATTTACGTTATCCAAAATAGTTTGTAGTGATTCTATTAAAGAATCAGGACACTTTTGTAACCATATTAAAAAATCCTTGATGTATAATTGATTTAATATGTAACGTGGCGCATATGATGTATTGAAAATGCTGTGTATTTCACAGAAGCATTTGATAATGTATTTCTTTCCTGCACATGAAACATTCTTAAATAGTAAAATTCTGCTGATATATTTGTATATTGCATTAAAATAGTCTGATATATACTCACCCAATTTTACAACTTTTTTAACATCTTCAAAAACTTTCATAGATAGTTCCCAATTTCTGTAAAGAGGATAACAAAGCGACCTTCGGAAACATGCTATTATAACTTCATCCATAGAAGTGAAATTCTGAAATTAAATAATTATTTGTTTAAATAATGGAATAAGCAATTTTTATGCAATTTTTTTACATACCTGAAACCAACATAATGTAGAACTGAGTTTGTTGATTGTCCAACCACTTTCCACAGTATTTTCTCCTAAAGTTGTTCTACGATTATAACAATTAGCATATAAAATATCCACAAGATTTAAACATAACTTCTGAATATCTTCAGCTTCTAATAAATATTCCTTATTTGGAAGTTCTTTCAACAGATCAACTTCTACTTCATTAAACATAATTTGATCTTTCTGTAATGTATCCCATTCTGCTACATATGCTATGTGTTCAGTCCATTCTGGTTCAAAATAATCCGCTAAATAATGATCTTCATTGAAGTCTTTATCTTCATGCAATTGCCGCAAAGTTTTTCTTTCTATTTCAGGAGTTATATCAGGAGTAGGAAGATCTATTATATCCTTTATCCACACTGGCTAAATTTAAGAAAATAAAACATATATGTTACTTGTAAGATTAATTATTTCACCTAACATTATTAAACTAAAGAAATACTTTTTTTATTTCTATACTTATTATGAAATAATTTATAACAAATTTAGCTCATTATTTGTGAAAAAATTAGTCATAAAAACATACTTCAAATGCACTTAATGCTCCAGATATTTTATTTGCAAAACCATATTTTGGAGAATTGGTAAGAAGGGTTATATTTTCTACAGCCTGTTTCTGAGGAATAAACCAAATATCTCCTGAGTCAGCACCACTTGACATATCAACATCTGTAATATTTTGTAAATTCCCATCTATGTCTGCTGAACTTGTAGATGGATTACCTAAAATTTAAAGTATTACTTTATATGTAAATATAACTTATATATATGTTAACAATATTGGCTTATATTTTTATATTATATTTGAACAACTTACCAATTACTTCAATGGAAGGAGCAATTATATTATGTTTTTTTGGCGGTTCCAAAAATATGGTTATCATATCTAAGTTCTCAAAGTACTCTCCTTTATTTACTTTTGATAATTTTAAAGTAAAATAACCCTTTTCACAATCATAAGAACCAGAGGATGAATCATTTTCTTCTATTTCACCTGGTAATTTCAATCTGTAAGATTTGTTCAATATATCTAGTATAGATCAAAATATAAATATCATATATGAATATATAGGTAAATTTTCATATGTATAATTATTATGCTTAAGTATAATTTTAAAAAGGAGTAAAAGAATAATTTCCTAACAAGTTTAATTTTTATATATTAGGGTACACAAGATATAAATTTTAACCCTTTATATCCTAAATTAATTTACCCAAGACCTTATTAAATTTTTGCGTAATTAAATAACTCTTGGCATATCATAAACATAAGAAACAGGAAAATAAATTTTGTAACAATTCAATGATTAAATTTTGATGTGGTATTTATAAATACCGACAGGAATATAGGGTAAGACATGGGAAAAAAATTCAAGAGCGCATATATAGAGCGGTACTTTGAAGTACAGGATACAAAGGGTTAAACATAAATAAGGATAGCTTACAGAAAAAATACCTGAAATTTACTAGATTATAATAAAATCTTATTTTATTGTTTACCTCAAAAAGTATGGTGTAGAATAAAATCTGAAGTCTGTTCCATCAACATATACCTCTGTGGTTTTTATGTTGGTGTATGGAGCATGTATAACTATTATAACTTCTGTCTCTGTTTGAGTTATCTCAAAGCGAGGAGTTAACATTTTATTGTGCTTTTCAACTTAATAAAATTATATGCTTATTATTGATTTCTGTGAGAATAATACATATTTAACATATAGAAATGTATCAATTTAAGCATATGAGTAGTTAAAACATGCATATCGAATTTCGAATCTATAGATGCTTACATAAAAAAACTATATTTTTATTAATCATTAATATAGTTTAATACTGTATTAACTATTATTTATCCTTAACTATTATTTACCCTTCTATTTATACCTTCACTTTCTATTTACCTTTTAACCTTCTATTTATATCCCTTTACATGTATCAAACAATAAAAATTTATTTTAGTTACACTGAGACTATATAGAACAAAGATAGGATGGTTGATAGGTAAAAAGTTATGACATTTTTATTTAAGGCTGCGTTTCGATATTCACTGTCAGCACTAAAAATCTATAGTATATGTGACATAAACTATACATGCTCAGTACTGGCAGTGAATTTTGGAACGCAGCCTAAATAAAACCAGCGGCACACGGTACTTGTTTTCGTGCTGGATTGCTTGCTGGATGAAAATACTGCGTTTTGATTGGTACATTTCCGAAGATGGATGGAAATGTACCAATCAGAACGCAGTATTTTCATCCAGCAAGCAATCCAGCACGAAAACAAGCACCGTGTGCCGCTGGCTTAAATCTGGCAACACAATCAGTGGCTACATTGGCCGCGTTCAGTAGAACAAAGTGATCAGAAAGCGTTTAGTGATTATTGTCTGTGATTGGAGCATTCTTTTAGATTCTTCATAGACCCAGAAGTATTTACCAATCAGGAGCGAGATTCAATGGAAAATCTAGTAATGTTGTCCAACTTTTGAGTCTGCTGAATGGCTGCATTCAGCAGACTCAAAAGTTGGACAACATTACTAGATTTTCCATTGAATCTCGCTCCTGATTGGTAAATACTTCTGGGTCTATGAAGAATCTAAAAGAATGCTCCAATCACAGACAATAATCACTAAACGCTCTCTAATCACTTTGTTCTACTGAACGCGGCCAATGGGTGCATTGGGTGCATTTAGTACTACACCGCTCACTGAGCGCTAAGTGAGCTCTTGCATCTGATTGGTATATACCTTTAGATTTAAAAATATACACCAATCAGATGCAAGAGCTCACTTAGCGCTCAGTGAGCGGTTGTAGTACTGAATGCACCCAATGCACCCAATAAAAGCAAACGTGCAATTCAAATGTTGCGAGCTTTGCTGTGAATTCTATCAGACACCGAAGTTATATTTGTTAAATTCTTACGATAAAAAATCACGTTTAAACAAAGGCAAAACTTTTAAAAGATTTTGAACATGCGAATTCTCTTCTGTACCAAATTCAGTGTTAGAATACGGGGTATGTTTCTCACATATGAGTGGTGCAATTATACGAAATTCAGCAACGAAGTTCAGTAACGTACACATACTAATTATGAACGTTAATTTGGCGGGATTCGATTAGCAGACAAGAGATAGATTTAAGACTAAGATATAAGTAGGCGTGGACATTGCAAATATTAAATTAATATATTAATATATTTATGTTAAAGGCATGGATATTTAGAATAGAAAAGATACTGTTAAGAATCAGAAAGTTGGAAAACTCGGAATGATATCTCATTTTGCTCATCTTAGATGCTTTTCTAGTGTCTCATTCTCCGCGCATGCGTAAAAAACATATTTCGTCTCGCAATACTATTGTGGATCTTTATAATATGGAAGAAGCATGTAGTTGGCCGGTGTGTTTGGCTATTCGCGAAAATCTATTACCATCTCCTATCCCGCATATTCCCATTTTAATTGAAGATATTCACCGGTACGTGACCCTACCTGATTACGAGGAAAACTGTATCAAGTACGTACAGACTATCGGTGAAATTTTACCTGGTTCAGCACGACTCGCTCGACTTCGCAGTATTTCGACAAACAGCAATGCCGAAGTCACTCTTAGACTGGAGAATATTCCAGTAGAAACAATATATATTAAAGACGAGAAGGGAAGACGTTTGCACATATGGGTAAAAAGTACTATCTTTATAATTAGTGAAACATATTCCTGTCTTCCAACAAATTTGCTTCACCTTAATACTTAACACATTGACTGTCCAGTAAATTTTGTGTTTTCATTATCACAAACATGTTATGATAAAATGTGTAATATGATAAAATCTTATTATCATTATATCTTGTATGTATGACATAATTATCTCAAGAAAGATCATCAAAAACTATGACATTATTGAAAGATCAAGTGTCGGTTATTCCTATGGCAGTTAACATGTTAAATACAACACTTGATGTACTACATTGTATTGTGACATATAATGATATTGTTCAATATCTTGAGTAATACTTTTATAATATTTTCTTTATAGGAAAAGTTTCATATTTTTAAAATATTTGGAAAATTGGAACAGAAGGAAAATGAAACTGTGTTGATAGCTCATAAGTTATTGAAAGTTGAAGATGTACCTGATAGTTTGAATATGCTATCATTGTTATCTGCAGTAGTACGTCCTATGTATTATCAGTAAGTTTTCAAATATTTAGTGGTCATAACAAATATTTTCAACAATATTTAAATCTACTGATAACAATGACAATGTATATAATTAAGATTCAATATTCAATTTAAATATTTTAACTTTGAATAATTGAATAATAAATTATATTGTTTCGTAGGTACAAACAGCTCAAATAGTACAAATATTTTGTCAAATTTCTTTTTTCTCTGTGTGCCAACTGTAAATGTTAAGGACTACTTTTAATATTCTAACAAGTTCATTGTCTAAACAAAACATGAGTATATTTATGCAGTGTTTAAATCCTCTTACGGGTATTGCTACATGGGAGGAAAAGGATCAATATTACGATTATCATCAGGAAGTAGCTAGGTCTGCATTTGCAGACATGCTACATGATCATGAGCGAGTTAATATTTTCTTGTTTTCTATCATTGCTTTAGAATCTTAATTTACCAACCATTAATCTTTTATATCCTTTGACAGAATGAAAAGTATTATATTGCTCTAAAAGCAGCTATCATAAAGAAGCATCAGGCAGGAGAAGAGGCTAATGTGTTAGATATAGGCACTGGTACAGGATTATTATCAATGATGGCAGCCAAATGTGGTGCTGATACTGTAACTGCATGTGAGGTACAAAAAGCTCTACAATTTATCTTGAACTTCTCCTATTTCCCTGCATTTGTAAATAAGAATTTTCTAGGCTTTCACACCAATGGCCAACTGTGCTGTGAGAATAATCAAAGAAAACGGCCTCGAAGATAAGATTAAGTTAATTTGCAAACGTTCTACGAAAATGACGATCGGGAAGAATGGCGACATGCCAAAGCGCGCAAACATTCTAGTTACCGAGGTATTCGATACGGAGTTGATCGGTGAAGGAGCTTTGTCAACATTTCGACATGCTCACGAGGTTCTTCTCGAGGTAACGCAAGCCGATATACAGTGTGTGTTATTTGTGTAATATTCTGTTATTTTTAAATATATATTAAGATGTTGGAAATAAAGAGATGTTTTATTATTTACATTAGGGAAATAGTATTGTCGTACCACACAGTGGGACAGTATGGGCGCAGGTAGTCGAGAGCTCCAGAGTTTGCGCTTGGAATCGAGTAAAACCTATTCAAGGTGGAAAGGATATATTAGTCAATGCTCCGCCAGCTATCCAAGCATGCTCTGGTGCGGCAGCAGTACACGACATGCAGCTATCTCGTATTCCTCGTGATGCTTTTATGCCATTGCTAAAACCGCAACCTATTTTTAGGTAGATATGATGTTCCTATCTCTCTAAGAATGCAATACTACATGTACAAACTACATTTAAAAGTACAATTGCCGAATGTTGTTAACGAACTGCATGTTCGGGTGAAATTCTTACATTAATTTCTTTTTTATGAAAACGTGCTTCAGGTTCGACTGGTCTGGCAAGAAACCTCTGTTATATGATGAAAAGGTGTCATTACGCGCACAACCGATAGCAACTGGGGTCGCGCACGCGATTTTTATGTGGTGGGATTTAAATATGGATATGGATAATCAGGTAGTTATGATATCTTTTTCCTTATATATTTCTTTTATAATCTACTTGTTCTCTTTTTTTTAATTTGTTTCCGCACCTTTCTAAAGGATAAATAAATACTGCGATATTATCCCTGTAGATTCTGCTGAGCTGCGCACCTGTGTGGGAACATCCAGATACCCCTGATAATATAAAGGATGATACTGAGCGTTTACAGGAGATGGCAAATTTAATACCTTGGAGGGATCACTGGATGCAGGCCGTATATTATCTCCCGGAACAGGTGCCAATCACGCAAGGCGTCGAAGTGAACCTCGTCGGATATCATGACGAGTATTCTTTCTGGTTTAAATTGCTCAAGGGATCAGTGTAAATTTCCACTTTTTTTTCCATAATATTTCAATCATTCTTGCGTTTCGTAATTGATGCGTTAATACATATCAATATTTCTTTCATATTTTCATATTTGCGTCACTATTACTCGTTACTGTTATTCGTGCTATCTTTCTTATGGCTTACAAGACTTGAAAAGTTACTTTGTAAAAATAATTTATATGCATTACTGGAAAAAATAACGTTACTGATTTGTTACGAAGTATCTTGCAATGATAATATAACGTTACAAGCAACATATTACTTGTCAACTCTAATAATCTGTTTCGAAGCAAGCGTATTTTTCATTCGAAATTGGTAATGAGTTAAAAAGGAAATTATTATATGGCGCAGAGAGAAGATTCCAGAATGCCCAAGACCCGTATGCAACTGTTGTGCGCATGTTGCATATTCGAGAACGCGCATCGGTCAATTGAATGACACAAATCGCAATGAGAAGTATATACGGGCTTTGCGGAAGAGGATCACGGCAAATAGCGTCTGCCTTTGTCTCTCGGACGGTTGCTTATTAGCACTCGCGGCTGCGAGACTGGGCGCCAAGGTATTTCTCTTAGAGCAGAACTTTTTGTCGCGCAAAACCACGGAGATGTTCCTGCAAGCGAACGGCCTCGCCGAGCGGGTGAAAATCGTCGAATCAATCGAAGATCTGCCAGAGGCACGCGACATCAATTTTGTCTTCGGAGAACCGTACTTCTTAAATTCCATAGTGCCCTGGGAAAATTTACGATTTTGGTACCTCGCCTCTAGATATCCGTCGAGCGTCGTACGGATGCCGATTGTGGCGACAATTAAAGCCGTCGCCGTTGAGTTCAAAGATCTACAGAAGATAAGAGCACCTCTTGGCGTATGCGAAGGTTTTGACTTGTCTTGTTTCGATACACTTGTGCAGGTTTGTAAGTTTTGTTATTACACCGTGATATATAGTTTTGTATCAAACATGATAAAATGATACCCTGCGTTTTCAGACTTCTAGTGAACAAAGCGATAATCCCATAGAAGCACATCCACTCTGGGAATATCCTTGCAAGGCGTTATCGGCGTCCTTTAACATCATAGAACTTGATCTTACGCGTAATGTAAATTTTGATGAGCGTATTCAAGTGTCGGGCGATGTTCCGTTCTTAGAGTGAGTCTCTTCCATTGGATTTTTGTGAACTTAGAACAAAAAATGTGTTGCTAAGTAACACTGATCTGAATGGATTATACAGGGTGATTCAGACCACCCGTACAGCCCTTTTATTTCGGAAATAGAACATTTTAAAGAAAAATGTTTCAGACAAAAGTTGTATGGCTTCAAGGGTGACATAAGATGGTATCATTGGTTTGACCTTGAAGAGTTACTTGATGGTCACATGAAGGTTATCTTCAATTTCTTAAATAGAACCTACTATTTCTCATTACATATTCTTGTTAGCTTATCTCGAGAGCTTTCCAAAACACTATAACAAAATATTTTTTCAATGAGTACTTTTCGAGTTATGAGGCTCCAAAGCAATATTTTGCAGTACTTTGACATAAAGTACAAAATATGTTGTGTTGTTATGAGGTCTAGTAAATCCTTAGGTATTATTTTAAAGACAAATTACCTTTTCACTCAAATCTCTGTAGTTATGCATGTTTCAAAAAATTCGGATTATCCTACTTTTAGCGCTATCCAAGAACAACGACGTGGACGTAGTAGAATTCTGTTCCCTTTGGTGTGTAGGTTTAACGTGAGTAATCCCCTTGCCTCTCGTGTGTGTGTGTATCTGTGTGTCTGTATTCAAGTAAGGTAGTGTTCTATGTGAGCACCATTCTTTTCAATGCAAACGTCTACTCTGTTTTGACAAGAATTGGTTGCTCGAAGAATTTCATCGCTACTTAAAGATTGAATTGCTTCTGTTATTCTGGTAATCATATCATTCCTTGTAGTTGGGCGATTACGGTATACTATGTCTTTTACCTTTCCCTATAAATAATAATCTAGGACAGTGAGGTCCGGTGGTCGAGGTAATAATATGTAATAATAATAATATAATAATGTTTCCCAATAAGTGGATAGGTAAATATGGTCCAATCGATTTTCCACCTCGATCACCGGACCTCACTGTCCTGGATTATTATTTATGGGGAAAGGTAAAAGACATAGTATACCGTAATCGCCCAACTACAAGGAATGATATGATTACCAGAATAACAGAAGCAATTCAATCTTTAAGTAGCGATGAAATTCTTCGAGCAACCAATTCTTGTCAAAACAGAGTAGACGTTTGCATTGAAAAGAATGGTGCTCACATAGAACACTACCTTACTTGAATACAGACACACAGATACACACACACACGAGAGGCAAGGGGATTACTCACGTTAAACCTACACACCAAAGGGAACAGAATTCTACTACGTCCACGTCGTTGTTCTTGGATAGCGCTAAAAGTAGGATAATCCGAATTTTTTGAAACATGCATAACTACAGAGATTTGAGTGAAAAGGTAATTTGTCCTTAAAATAATACCTAAGGATTTACTAGACCTCATAACAACACAACATATTTTGTACTTTATGTCAAAGTACTGCAAAATATTGCTTTGGAGCCTCATAACTCGAAAAGTACTCATTGAAAAAATATTTTGTTGTAGTGTTTTGGAAAGCTCTCGAGATAAGCTAACAAGAATATGTAATGAGAAATAGTAGGTTCTATTTAAGAAATTGAAGATGACCTTCATGTGACCATCAAGTAACTCTTCAAGGTCAAACCAATGATACCATCTTATGCCACCCTTGAAGCCATACAACTTTTGTCCGAAACATTTTTCTTTAAAATGTTCTATTTCCGAAATAAAAGGGCTGTACGGGTGGTCTGAATCACTCTGTATATCGGTATCCTCAATTTTCCAGCAGCGGTTCCTGTAATGGCGTTGCTTTATGGGTGGATTGGCAATTGGACACCGAGATATCGGTGTCCTGTGGCCCGATCGAGGAAATAGTGCCTGGCAAATGCGTGTCCTGGGATCCATACACGAGACAAGGAGTGCATTTATTCCGTAAAATTTGTGACGTCACTAAAGGAAGCATGCTTTCTTGGACGTTTACCTTTATCCCGCAACACGGTGAAGTCGAATTCAATTTTAATTATTAAGGAACGTTCGAATATGTATAAAAACAGTAAAGCTGTAAAAATAGAAATTTGACTGAAATATCAGAAGTGCAAAATGTGCTTGAAGTGCTGATAATGTTCTTACATGCTAAAGTATATTAAAATTTATTGTAAGTATAAATAAAGAGATTTTATTGCGAGTCCAACATTTCACTCGACGATTCTTGTTCGAATATCACATTAAGAGCTCTTCACTGTCAATTGTAGATGCATTTTAAAACGTTACGACGTACCGTCTGGTAATATGCGTAATTGTTTGGCAAGTCTTTTGCCAATCAACTTCGGGTAAGTTTTTTGTTTAATAAGAAATTCCTTACTCTGATGGGTTACCGCGCCATTCTCTAATTGAAATCTACAAACAAAAACGGTTTTATCAAGACAAGAATTAGAATTTATTCTGTAGAGAAGTGTTAACGATTGTAAAAGTGTAAGGAATTTTAATGCATTCTCACCTGCACAAATAATGCAACGGACCTAACATTTTTTCCCTTAGTTCGGGGTCGCCTTCTAGAATTGAAAGTGCACTTGCGCCTGTTTCTAATGTTGAGAGGCAACCTTCCGTTGGCTGTGTCCTAATCACATACTCGCTAGTGGGTACGCCGATTAGCTTGCAAGCTCGTAGAAAATATAAAGATGGACTAGAGTGATATATTGCCTGTGAGATATGTGTATGTATGCGTGAATATGATGACAAATAACAAGAATTTATCCTGATTAATTGCTTTTTTTTTGGAAATCTCATTATATGTACTTGTACATTGTCTAGAGATTTATAAATGAGTAAATAATTATAAGGATTTAATTATAATTATAAGGAATTATAAGGAATTAAAATCAAATATGAGAGTAGAAAACAATAAGAGCCGATTATAGATCTACTTTGCATATATTTGTAATATTCTGTATATAGATGTACATAAATTATCTTATTGTCAGAATATTTCAATTGATGTGGTCATCCTCAAATTGATACAAATTATAAGTGATTCTCAGTCATGAGCAACAGAATAGGTCATATAACGCATATAATATATAAAAAAGAAGTTATGTTTTAAACCAAACTAGTTGACTTATCTTTTTTTTTTTTATGAAATATGTTACAGTTTTTATATTATCATGAATTTACTATTATTACCAATTATAACAAACTTAGTCTTACAATGTTTAGAAACTCAACCAATCAATCAAATTTCATATAATTTCATATTTAAATTTTATATATCACTATTTATATAAAGATGTGCAAACTAGATCCACAATCAACTCTTATTAGCTTTTACTCTTATATTGTTTGATTTTGAACTATAAATTAGATATTACTTAGTAAGTGAAATGTTGATACAAGGGACTTATAGTTAAATTAAACTTGTAGCTAAATCATCAGTGATTACTTTTGCTTGTGGCCATGTTCCATCCAGTAGAACCAAGTTATATGCTTTTTGTTCATTGATACCAATTGGATCTAATGTATCTAATGCAACAGCTCCAGGTGAAGGATATAGTAAAATAGTGTTTTTATCATTTAGAATTTCTGCTAGGCCTTCATGTATAGGTAATGGAAACTTTTTTCCTCTAAAAGAAATAAACCCAATTGTCAATTTAAATTTATAAAATATAAACAATCAAGGATAATAGTAAAAGCAATCAATCTTTTTACCTATAAATTAGGCACTTTCCTGATTCTAAAGCTAATGCTAGCATTGGCACTGTACGTAAACAACGCTTTGCTTCAGCTGGATGCTGCAAGATTATTATTCTTGATGCTGGATTAAGACGTTGTTTTGGTAAACCTGGACACCAACATACTTGCACAGGTCTCCTGAAAGTAACACCTGTTGCTTTAACTTGAAACTTTTGAAAATATTTATTTAAAATCACATTTTCCTCTAAACAATTATGTTCTAGCTATTAATTGTTGACACAAACATTACTGTATATATTGAAGCATTTTCTAACCTTACAACTTGAAATTTAAAAATAAACTTTATTTTTATAATAAGAAGGATAACAATATCTTAACTTTTATATTTTAATTGTAAGCAATGAAATATATATATATATGTGTTAAGTTTTATTAAAATTAATAAAAATACTTGTCTTCCTTTTAATGGTTTATAAATGTATATTTGCCCAATTTATACTATACAAGTATATATATTCTCTACATAAAAAATATACATATAATAGGATATATATTCTATACATGTACTTTTTGCACTTACTTGCATTGTGAGCATTTGTCTCTTGTCTCAGGAGGATCAGCTGGAATATTCGCTAGCTCATTCCACACATTATCCTCATTCGTCATGATAATTGGTTATCAGAAGTATATTTTCTGATAATCTCCACACATGATATCGCGTGATTAGTCAATTTACGATTATAACTCAATTTAAGGAGAGTATCTACTTAGAGTCGTCCTTTCAAAGAGCTAAATTTTATAAATTTGCGGAAAATTGCATGTATTAAATTTTTAATGAATTATATATAGGCAGAGTTGCGACATAATAAAACTTTTGAAAAACTATTATTTGTTATTACTTTAAAGTCACCGCCAATACGAAGTCCGCTATCAGTAAATGATAGCATGCGCGCGATCAAGGTGGACAAACTCTCGTATACTGAATTGTAATAATAACGAAACGTGCTTTCCCATATAACTTACATGCGCGTGCGCAATATATTTAACATTTTATTTATAAAATCTATGTTATGTAATACGATCAACTTTTAGAAGGCACAAAACATGATGTATTGTACGTGTATATTATATATATATATATATATATATAGTGTATATATGCATCATTTTACTTAATAGAATATTTTACTAAATGTATTATATGTACATATTATACAACATAAAAATCGTATGAAAGGATTGTTCATGAATGATACGTTCTTTATTGAGATGACATAGATATGTTTATTACAAAGTGAAATACATATCTTTGATTATTCAATTATAATGCAAGCTTTACAATCAAAATGAATATATTTTGTAAAAGTACTTAACATATTAACAGGTCATAATTATCATTTCAAATAAATTGTATCTGTTGTATTATCATATATCAATTTTTGAACATAATGTCAAGTCAAATTAAGGCTAACGGTCTTTCTTTCTTTCATTTGAACACTTGTGTGTATTTTTCTCAGTTTCTTTTGATTAAACATTTTTGAAATTTGTGCAATTTTCATTGTGCAAGTACTTCAGGGTTGATCGAGTACTCTAGGATACTTTGGTTGAAAAAGTAGGATATTTTGGTTGAAAAATGTAAGACATATTACTTATTTATCTTAGTTATAAAAAAAGTAAATACTCTTTTCATAAACTCTAAAGTGTACACGTACGTGTACACTTTAAATACATGTAATGTAACTACAAGTATTCCTAAATATTTTATATATATTCTTATATAATAACATACAAATGTATATTTTTCTATCAGTGCACACTATCGACGAAGAAATTTTCTTATGCATATAATAAACTTTAACTATATGTTTGTGAAATTTTGTCCTGTTATATAAATCATCAGTACAAATCAATAGATTTAGACACAGATTTACATTACTACGATCTTGAGAAGTGATACATGTTAACTGTAGGGTAAAGCGCAAAACAGAATGAATAAACTTAAAAATTATCAAAATATCTGATGTCTTGTAGAATCATACAATTTAATATGATTATTAATCATGTTTTACTGTTATTGTGGGAGATAAAAATTAAACAAAAATTACGAGAAAAGCTTAAGATTTTTTGCAATTTGTAGATATATAAAATAAATGAATTTGCAAAAACATCTAAAAGGAACAAAAAAATACAAGTAATTATAAAAAGTATAATGTCTTTTCCAGTTGGGAGTCTGGCGATTGGTGAATATATTTACTCACTAAAAACGCCAGCTTATGAGCATAATGGCAAGGTGCCGGTACTCGGACAGTGTTAGTGCAATTAAAATACATATGGGTTAGTTTATATGTAAGACGTTGCATCTTGTCCGGATCTAAATTGATATTATCATAAATAACGCTATATAAAGTTGGTGTTACTGTGCCATTCCTTACTTGCTGTGACACAATAAAGAAATCGTATTTGATCGGACTTGTGACGACATCATCAACCACCGTACCCGTCGGTGGATTCTGCTTATTGAAGAAGAATCGAGTATTAACACGTTTTGTCACAATTATGAATGACATTCTATATTTCTCGCCACCATAAAGCTCGTTAAGTTTCTTCCGTAAGTCCACGATTTCCCGCTGCAAAACTAGCGACACTTGACCTTCGCCAACGCCGTCACGATAAATCAGTATACGTGCGGGCAAAGTCCTGTTATGCGCCTGATATGCCATCGCGGCCTTATATATATTTAAGGAGAACATGTGAGATAATTCATCGCCGTCTGAATGTAAGTTGGTTGAACTGTAGTATTTTGTAAGATCTTTGTCTAAAGATGCCACCATTGCACCTGTAACAAATCGTTAATATGACGAAAGGGAATTGATAAATGTTTAATAAATATTACGTCTAATGACGTTATATTTTGTGCTACATACAATATATATATATAAATAAAATATAATATATATATAAATATATATATAAAAGAGATTAAAGTGAAGATTGCTTTAACGTATTCAACAAGATATGTAATCGAATGTTTCAAGCCGGATTTAAACACTGAACTATTAAAAAAAAAAAAAGAGAAAAAATCTTAAATGAATAAGTCAAATAGAAATAATAGACAGCTCAAAAAATAAAACACAACTTTACAATATTAAAATTGATGAAAGAGTTCGGAATGCTTACCGAAATCTTTATTTGGGTTTGCTGTATCGTGGCAAACATCGAATCCAATGACCATTAATCCATCCAGTGGAATGTCTACGCGCCAAGGCGCTCCACCTAACTTACAATTCATTTGTATCGCTACTTTTGTAGTGATGGACTGAAGATTCCTGTGCGACAAATTCTTTTGCAAATAAACTTGAGATGCTACAGGCCGATCCACACAGCATTTTTTTTTGATCGCCGAATAACGATCAATGCGATTGTTCGCTACTACGCAAAATATCAGCTGTGGTATCCGTTTGCATAGAATTCTTTCAAGGAATTCACTATACCCGCTTGGTCTATCATCACCGATCCATAATACTTCCGGTTGTTCTACATGGAATGATATTCCACGTGATATTTTCAGTATACCATCCACGAAGTTCTGAAATCAATACTGTGTCATTCAAAGCGAGGGAAGTTATATAAACAGAATGTTTTAACTCTCGAATTCACAACACAATCATATGTAATACATGATACGCAATACAATAATATGCAAGAAACCGAATGACAAGACAGAAGGAAAAATATAGAATATATTGTAATACCTGAATACCGCCTACACCTGTACGTTTTTTAAGAAATTCCGGGGCAATAAAAATCCAATCTTTCAATGCTGTAACATTGTAACACCGTTTGTTTTTCATGTGACTAGACCATTCACCTTTATCAGGCATAATGAATGCATTTCCACCAAATACAAGTTTTTCGGGAGGTAAGACACGTGCATCAATTTGAAGCAAGTTGTGATCTAAGTTTAAGTTCCATTGAGTGAGTTCTTGCATAACTTGAGGCTGATCGCGAAGTCGTCTATTGAACGACAATAATTTTTCGATACGCACGTCAGGATTAACGCGTGTATATTGGGCTAGACTCTGCATAACCGAGAAATTTTCCCTCATTGCATCAGTCAAACCTGGAAATTACAATAGCAGTGTATCAAAGCAATCAAATTAAGAACCGAGTATGAATAAACAATTACATTATATGAAAAAACATTTTTTAGTTTAGTAAGATGCAATAGTAAGTACAGAATAATGAGAGTCAAATCAAATCTTAAATTAAAGTTGCCGATAAATTTGCACGATACAATTACACGCACCTGTCGCACAACATAATTCAGGCACTAAATAAACTGGGTCTCCTCTGTCGGCTTGTCGATCTCTCGGTCTATTTCTTGTTAGAAGCATCGGCTGACTAGCATTAGTAATTCTGATGTCGTATTTGGTGCGGTAATATTCAATATATGTTATCATTCTGCCGTCTTTCATAGGAAATGTTGCTCGAGGGTTTGCTGAATAATCCACATCCTCAATACGGTATGTATTGTTATTGTAAGCGGTAAGAACTACTGTTCCTATCACCATGGCAGAAAATTGTGCCTATACACGCATACGTGATAAAGTTGGAGATATGTATAAAATTATATAGGGAAATAACGTTTATTGTATGATATATGTGTGTATAAAAATCCACACGAACATATAGGAAATTTTAAATAGGAGCACAACTTACTCGGTAGTTGCGGCTATCATTCCTGTAACAATCATTCAGAATGTCAAGCAATGTTTCTTGACGCATAATTTTACTCGTTATCTCGGCGCACAATAAGATATCACGTTCATGTTGTCGGATGGATGTTAAATATCCTGGCCACAATTCCAATTTATGTTCCGGCAAGGTCACCTACATAGCATAACCAAACAATTCCGTTACGTTTTTTTTAAGCGCAAATCACTTCGACGTGACATAATGTCTGGACGTACTTTATTCATGGCATCGTAATAATTACGACCGACTAATTGAAGCCTTAGGTAGCCCAAACACTTTCTCATTATTATATTGAAGAATTGAATATAATGGGGATCTCCTTGCATGATGCTACCAACAACACGAACAGTAATTCTTATATGCGTATTATCCGATTGTCGAGTTGATAGAAGCTCCATTTGCTAAAATAAATAGATTGCATTTATCACAAACAATAGTGAAAGTAAATACAATATCATCTAGATTCCTTACCTCGGGTAATCGATTGCTCGTGTACATTACAGTACCATCGAAAATGTATGCACCGATTTTTTCTTGATGAAGTCTAAGTAAACCTTTACGTACAGCAGTGCGATCTTCTTCAGGTGCGAAATCGACATGATATTGGTAAACGCACCAATCAGTCTTACTAATAAACTTGAAATAATTTGCTCTTATCGAAATAGGGCTGCCAGTCACTCCTGAAAGTTGTGTGAATAAAAAGAAATGTGTAAGCAACTTCTAAGAACAAATAAAAATATTCTGGTATTATTCTACTACCCAATACAATATGTTCTATCGACATGCATTGATGTACACGAATTAATTATTTTATATGATCTTTTTGTCAAATGAGTAATATATTAAATTAATATCATAATTATTGTTTACCCTTCTTGTTTATTATATGGCTTGGTTTCGTGACAAAGATATCCGCTGATACAATTCTTTTACCCCGGGATGCTCCTCTTCCTGTGACAACGACTGCAACACCATTACCTCCACCAGCAATTCCACTGGGTCCAGCAATTCCACTGGGTCCAGCAATTCCACTGGGACCAGCATCTCCACTGGCACCTTTTATAAAAGAAAAAAGTTACATTATATATTTAATGTTTACTTATATACATATATTACTGCTAAGTGTAATACATATGTTAACAATGTGAATATGTTCATTATATATTTATGTATTAAATAAAGTACATATACACATCCAAACATTACGGATATTTTTCAATTATAGCAAAATTATTAGATATTTCTCAACAGTAATAAAAATATATTATTTTTTTACTTTATGTAATGATACAAATATTATGTAAGTTATTATGTACATAAAATTAAGAAATAAATAATGCAGTAATGATAGAATAACAATAAATAATGATAAAAGAAAACAAAAATATGAAATACCAGGTTGAAGTGTCATCTTCTCAACACCCCGACCTATCTGCATGACTGCAGTACTGTCACCTTTTGCACCAACACGTTGTGTCACGCCACGGCCACTCTGTCATATTTAATTGTTTAGTTAAACAATAATGAATAGTTCTTGTATTATTTATATTTTATAAAAATTTATACAAAATTATTACAAAGAACACAAATCCTAAAAATAATCAAATATGATCAATTTTTATATGAATTTATTGTATGTATAATTTGTTACGCCACAAGAAATATAAATTATAATATGTTAAGCTTGGTCAATTTTAAATATATGTACATTGCTTTATTATGTACTTTTGGATAGTTTTTAATCTGATTAAATTTCAGGAAATATTGTTTTAATAAATATATAGAAATATTTTAATTTGAAAGGACTACTTATATATACCTACAATAAAATTAAAAAAATAAGAGAATCGTATAATATATAATAAAGAAACTGTAAAGCTAAATATAAATATATCTAAGATAAAAATACTTTGTTTTGCTCAATAATAGAGATTGATAGGTGAAACTAATGTCATTAAATATAAAATAACAATATTGTATGAAAAGAATTTTGATAAACAATTTAAATTTATATTCTGTATGTGCAACCACTAAACTTTATAGATTTGATTTAAATCACCACTAGCCTGTTTTGAATAAATTATATTACATATCATAAACATTATTGCAAAATTGAACATGAAAAGAAAATGTTTTGATTATATTGACATGACTAGTGCTTGTTATATTTGTAATAATCATAACAAGAATAATAAACTACTCACTAAGTATTATTGTACATTTAATTTTTAATTAATATTTAAAAACATGACACATGTGAAATATATTACTTACTGAAGAACTGCCAGCCTGAGGCAGTACTGTTTGCCCTGGTCTACGAACTTCTTGGCTTGATGATTGGGCATGTGGAAGCTGTTGAGATGTTTGCTGTGGTTGTTTTTGTGGTACTGCACGCCCACGGCTTCTTCCTCTTCCCCTTTCAGACATCTTGTCTCAAGTACTGATACAAAATGACTACTTACATATATTCATATTTAAGAAATAGATATATGAAAAGAAGTCATCAGTAGAAAAGTACAAAATGTTAACTAAAAACTATTAAAAAAATAAGAGAAGAAATATACAGAGGAAGAAGAAAGGATATATTTGATCAATGTAAGATTAAGAGAGAAAAAAGATTGAATATGGAAAAAAGTAGAAAGAATTGATAAACAAAACACAAAGATCAAAGAAATAAAAATAAAACAGTAAACTTTAATTATTTTATTTTAATTAATTTATATACTAAATAAGAATAAGTAAAAGAAAAAAAATAGTCTAAGAAGCTATACAATATTATTAAAATAAAATCAAGATTCTGAGAAAAAAAATATGAAAGAAATATTAATATATTATCGCTGCTTCCTCCTAATCTTTTTCCTTTTCTAAATTTTGTATGCCTTTAAATTAAAAAGAAATATTCAAAATAAGTTCGAATTTTATTAACAAAGTTGTTTTATCATGTAACTAATGAACAAACTATGCACAATACACCATATAGAATAAAATTTTTTATATTAACATGTTGGTTTGTATATCTATAATTCTTTGTTTAGGGAATTTTTTCAGAATATCTTATAATAAAGTATAAAAAAAAAAGTGTAAAAATGCAATTATTACAAGTTCGTTTTTAACTGCGATTTAATATTCACTGCTAGCACTAATAATCTATGATACGAGTGATATACCTATGTATTTTCAGTACTTGCAATGAATATCGGAATGTAGCTTTTGTTTACGTTAATTTTCCAATTACCATAATTTTAGCTGAATTTTAAAAATTATTTCACCGTTTTCGTAAATGCAAATGTTTGACATATAAAATACTATACCTTCAATAAAATTTTAATATAGCTTCAGGCAAGAACTGCCTGTCTTTTTCCGTCACTTATTCTGAATATCTCCACAACACATTGGAAGTGAAGCTGTTGGACATCAAATAACCAGCGGATGTTAGTTTCAATATTGTTTCATGTTAATTGGTAAGAAATAACCACGACTGCGTATCACGTGATCATCCATCAATAAGAAACGGCATCAAGCGCACGCGTATTGGTCAGCTGCGCGATCTCGGACATGCAAACTATGATTAACTGTTAAAATTTACACAAAATATCAAGTTTGTCGTTCTCGTAGTAATAAATATATATTTGTGGAACATAATGCGCATAAACAAATTGACAGGAGAAACGATACGATAAGATAATTCAATAACAAACGGTATCTCAAGCGACCAATAACAGCGTAAGGTGAACATCAAATGATGTTTTGAGTTTGGTAATAATATAGGCTGCGTTCCGATATTCACTGCCAGTACTGAAAATACATAGTTTCTGTCACGTATATTATAGATTTTTAGTGCTGGTAGTGAATATCGGAACGCAGCCATAATAATAGGGAGTTTTTTTCTCGCAATATCGGTTGTGTTCCGGAATTTACTGCCAGTATTGAAAATATATATATATATTATAGAATTTCAGTGCTAGCAGTAAGTATCGGAAAGTAGCCATCATCTCTCAGATACGATAAACGTTGATCGTGAATGCTTTTGGTCGCGTATATCGCAGCATTATTTCTGAGCGAATAACATTAATGATTTACGTTTATTGTATCTGAGAGACGGTATTGCAAAAACTCTTTAATTCTGGCTGCATTCAACGTTAGAAAATTTTTACAATAACGTTTCTCAGATATGGTAAGTGCTAAAGTTACAAGAAAGTGAATTTTATTTAACGTTACCCTATTTGAAAAATGTATTGCAAGAACTCCTTAGTATGTTCCTAAACGTCTAATGAAAATCTGCCTTTTGATTATAAATTTTTTTCCATTCATATTGATACATAGGATAAATCTATACTTTTTTACATAGACTAAAGCTAAAGCTAAGACTCCATGCATGCGGTGAACTGCGGCAAACGGTTGCGGTGACCAATCAGGAGGGAGGCGCAAGTCCGGTTGCGGCAAGCTCCGGCATGTGTCTGTCTCCTGATTGGTCACCGCAGCCGTTTGCCGGAGCTCACCGCATGCATGGAGTCTTAGCTTTACTCTTACAGCTATTGTAAACGAGCCTTTAAGCTGACGTGTAAAGGGAGGCATCCAATCCGACACATCACAATTGGACACTAACCGACGCAAAGTATTATCTAGTGAATTACTAGATCCAACCAATCATTTAAGGCCATCACACGTAGAAAAATTTTAACCGTAATTGTAAGGTTGTAAGAAAACTGATCAATCACAGTCGATCCATTCTCTTGTGACATTATAATAATCGACTGTGATTGGTCAGTTTTCTTACAACCTTACGGTTACGGTTAACATTTTTCTACGTGTGATGGCCTTTACTTTGTATCTAATCGTATGTCGAATAGATACACAACCGTTCTTTTCACTTTTTGCATTAAGGCTTGTCTACATTAGCTGTAAGAGAAAGGCTGTAAGGTTGCAAGACACGAAATGAAATATTTTCATTCGCTGACAGCTTACGTTACAGCCTTAGGTCCAGTTCCACAACTTGCTTTAAACTCTGTTTATTTCATTTCGAAAAATATTTCATTTCGTGTCTTGCAACCTTACAGCCTTACTATAAAGACCCATCTACACGAAATGAAATATTTTCATTACAGCCTTACTCTTATAGCTATTGTAGACGAGCCTTTACAGCTAATGTAGACGAGCCTTTACTCTTACAGCTATTGTAGACGAGCCTTTACTCTTACAGCTATTGTAGACGAGCCTTTAGTTCAAGTCTTTCGAAAAAGAAGGAACCTATAAATTGCGTTCTAAAGACCCATCTACAATGGCTGCAAGAATAAGGTTCTAAGTTCTAAGCGTAAGCAGTAAGGCCCAGTTCCACAAAATCAAGTTTAAACCGTGATTATCTGAACTGACGTTACATTTAACGGCATGGTTAAACTTATATCGCGTTCCACATCATGTTAGGGTCGCCATCATAGAGGGTCGCCATTGTAGTCCAAAATGTAGGGTTTTGAAAGGGCTTTAATTTGGTACCTGTCCGAAGCCTGTATCTCTAACCGTTTAGGAGATATCGAAGGTTAAAGTTTTCTAACCTTTCTCCGTCGATATCCAGCCTTCATCCGTCGATATCTCCGCTTCTATTGGGAGTAGAGGGTCGTCATTGTAGTCCAAAATGTAGGGTTTTGAAAGGGCTTTAATTTGGTACCTGTCCGAAGCCTGTATCTCTAACCGTTTAGGAGATATCGAAGGTTAAAGTTTTCTAACCTTTCTCCGTCGATATCCAGCCTTCATCCGTCGATATCTCCGCTTCTATTGGGAGTAGAGGGTCGTCATTGTAGTCCAAAATGTAGGGTTTTGAAAGGGCTTTAATTTGGTACCTGTCCGAAGCCTGTATCTCTAACCGTTTAGGAGATATCGAAGGTTAAAGTTTTCTAACCTTTCTCCGTCGATATCCAGCCTTCATTCGTCGATATCTCCGCTTCTATTGGGAGTAGAGGGTCGCCATTGTAGTCCAAAATGTAGGGTTTTGAAAGGGCTTTAATTTGGTACCTGTCCGAAGCCTGTATCTCTAACCGTTTAGGAGATATCGAAGGTTAAAGTTTTCTAACCTTTCTCCGTCGATATCCAGCCTTCATCCGTCGATATCTCCGCTTCTATTGGGAGTAGAGGGTCGTCATTGTAGTCCAAAATGTAGGGTTTTGAAAGGGCTTTAATTTGGTACCTGTCCGAAGCCTGTATCTCTAACCGTTTAGGAGATATCGAAGGTTAAAGTTTTCTAACCTTTCTCCGTCGATATCCAGCCTTCATTCGTCGATATCTCCGCTTCTATTGGGAGTAGAGGGTCGCCATTGTAGTCCAAAATGTAGGGTTTTGAAAGGGCTTTAATTTGGTACCTGTCCGAAGCCTGTATCTCTAACCGTTTAGGAGATATCGAAGGTTAAAGTTTTCTAACCTTTCTCCGTCGATATCCAGCCTTCATCCGTCGATATCTCCGCTTCTATTGGGAGTAGAGGGTCGTCATTGTAGTCCAAAATGTAGGGTTTTGAAAGGGCTTTAATTTGGTACCTGTCCGAAGCCTGTATCTCTAACCGTTTAGGAGATATCGAAGGTTAAAGTTTTCGAACCTTTCTCCGTCGATATCCAGCCTTCATTCGTCGATATCTCCGCTTCTATTGGGAGTAGAGGGTCGTCCATGTAGTCCAAAATGTAGGGTTTTGAAAGGGCTTTAATTTGGTACCTGTCCGAAGCCTGTATCTCTAACCGTTTAGGAGATATCGAAGGTTAAAGTTTTCTAACCTTTCTCCGTCGATATCCAGCCTTCATCCGTCGATATCTCCGCTTCTATTGGGAGTAGAGGGTCGTCATTGTAGTCCAAAATGTAGGGTTTTGAAAGGGCTTTAATTTGGTACCTGTCCGAAGCCTGTATCTCTAACCGTTTAGGAGATATCGAAGGTTAAAGTTTTCTAACCTTTCTCCGTCGATATCCAGCCTTCATCCGTCGATATCTCCGCTTCTATTGGGAGTAGAGGGTCGTCATTGTAGTCCAAAATGTAGGGTTTTGAAAGGGCTTTAATTTGGTACCTGTCCGAAGCCTGTATCTCTAACCGTTTAGGAGATATCGAAGGTTAAAGTTTTCTAACCTTTCTCCGTCGATATCCAGCCTTCATCCGTCGATATCTCCGCTTCTATTGGGAGTAGAGGGTCGTCATTGTAGTCCAAAATGTAGGGTTTTGAAAGGGCTTTAATTTGGTACCTGTCCGAAGCCTGTATCTCTAACCGTTTAGGAGATATCGAAGGTTAAAGTTTTCGAACCTTTCTCCGTCGATATCCAGCCTTCATTCGTCGATATCTCCGCTTCTATTGGGAGTAGAGGGTCGTCATTGTAGTCCAAAATGTAGGGTTTTGAAAGGGCTTTAATTTGGTACCTGTCCGAAGCCTGTATCTCTAACCGTTTAGGAGATATCGAAGGTTAAAGTTTTCTAACCTTTCTCCGTCGATATCCAGCCTTCATCCGTCGATATCTCCGCTTCTATTGGGAGTAGAGGGTCGTCATTGTAGTCCAAAATGTAGGGTTTTGAAAGGGCTTTAATTTGGTACCTGTCCGAAGCCTGTATCTCTAACCGTTTAGGAGATATCGAAGGTTAAAGTTTTCTAACCTTTCTCCGTCGATATCCAGCCTTCATCCGTCGATATCTCCGCTTCTATTGGGAGTAGAGGGTCGTCATTGTAGTCCAAAATGTAGGGTTTTGAAAGGGCTTTAATTTGGTACCTGTCCGAAGCCTGTATCTCTAACCGTTTAGGAGATATCGAAGGTTAAAGTTTTCTAACCTTTCTCCGTCGATATCCAGCCTTCATCCGTCGATATCTCCGCTTCTATTGGGAGTAGAGGGTCGTCATTGTAGTCCAAAATGTAGGGTTTTGAAAGGGCTTTAATTTGGTACCTGTCCGAAGCCTGTATCTCTAACCGTTTAGGAGATATCGAAGGTTAAAGTTTTCGAACCTTTCTCCGTCGATATCCAGCCTTCATTCGTCGATATCTCCGCTTCTATTGGGAGTAGAGGGTCGTCATTGTAGTCCAAAATGTAGGGTTTTGAAAGGGCTTTAATTTGGTACCTGTCCGAAGCCTGTATCTCTAACCGTTTAGGAGATATCGAAGGTTAAAGTTTTCTAACCTTTCTCCGTCGATATCCAGCCTTCATTCGTCGATATCTCCGCTTCTATTGGGAGTAGAGGGTCGCCATTGTAGTCCAAAATGTAGGGTTTTGAAAGGGCTTTAATTTGGTACCTGTCCGAAGCCTGTATCTCTAACCGTTTAGGAGATATCGAAGGTTAAAGTTTTCTAACCTTTCTCCGTCGATATCCAGCCTTCATCCGTCGATATCTCCGCTTCTATTGGGAGTAGAGGGTCGTCATTGTAGTCCAAAATGTAGGGTTTTGAAAGGGCTTTAATTTGGTACCTGTCCGAAGCCTGTATCTCTAACCGTTTAGGAGATATCGAAGGTTAAAGTTTTCTAACCTTTCTCCGTCGATATCCAGCCTTCATCCGTCGATATCTCCGCTTCTATTGGGAGTAGAGGGTCGTCATTGTAGTCCAAAATGTAGGGTTTTGA